TTTGTTCGGGATCCTTTCTCTTGCTGGCTGCACTGTTCATCTGCGGGACAGCCTCTTGACCATAGGAGGCACCCTCATTTCCCTTTTTTTTTTTTTTTTTTGAGACGGAGTCTCACTCTGCCGCCCAGGCTGGAGTGCAGTGGCCGGATCTCAGCTCACTGCAAGCTCCGCCTCCCGGGTTCACGCCATTCTCCTGCCTCAGCCTCCCGAGTAGCTGGGATTACAGGCGCCCGCCACCTCGCCCGGCTAGTGTTTTGTATTTTTTAGTAGAGACGGGGTTTCACCGTGTCAGCCAGGATGGTCTCGATCTCCTGACCTCGTGATCCGCCCGTCTCGGCCTCCCAAAGTGCTGGGATTACAGGCTTGAGCCACCGCGCCCGGCCTCCCTTTTTTTTTTTTTGAGTTGGAGTTTCGCTTTTGTCGCCCAGGCTGGCGCGATCTCTGCCCACTGCAATTTCCACCTCCTGGGTTCAAACGATTCTTCTGTCTCAGCCTCCCGAGTAGCTGAGATTACAAGTGGCCGCCACCACAGCCAGCTAATTTTTTTGTATTTTTATTAGAGATGGGGTTTCACCATGTTGGCCAGGCTGGCCTCAAGTGATCCTCCCACCTTGTCCTGCCAAAGTGCTGGGATTACAGGTGTTAGCCATTGTGCCCGGCCTGATTTATCTCCTGTGTGTGAGGGATCTCAGCCTTTCTATATAGTTTTGTCCTCAAAGTTATAGTTGGGCCTTCTAATCCAGTAGATATTTAAGGCATTTGGAAAAGGGGACACACTTCATTTGGCTTTGAAAGGCTTATTTTATGATCCAATGACCATTGGTTGAGAAAACTTGATGTATGTGTCTTTGGTGTTACTTCGTTGTGAAAGTGCTTCCAGCCGGCTCCAAGGCCTGCGCAGGTGAATCTTGTAGGTAGGTGAACTCAATAAATCCTCATAGCAAGCTTGGGAGGTCAGCCCTCCGGCTCTCTGACTTTCAGATGAGGAATCTGAGTCACAGAGAGCTGAGGTAATGCGCCCAGGGACGGACTGCGAGCGAGTGGCAGAGCGGGCGTTCTGATGTTGCACTTAGAACAGCTCTGTCTCTTTGAGGCCCAGGACTAGTTCAAGCGCAAAAGGCTTAGACAGAGAGTTTAGTAACTAATGACTGACTAATCTTTTGGATGTATTTACTCAGGTGATATTTTGGATTTTAGTCTTCTGCAGCAGGTTTGTAGGGGGAAAAAGGAACCACCTTAGGAGCCAAGACATGTTTAAGTAATCTAGTTGCAATTATTCAAATATCGGATGTATAGAGAACAGTGGCATCCTCCTGAGGCTGAAAGACTGTTTCTCATTGCACTAACCCCGAGTCTTTGGAAGCTTCCAGCTTCCCAAGCTAATTTCTTCTGTAAAATCCTTGCTTGACCAGGTGCGGTGTCTCACACCTGTAATCCTAGCACTTTGGGAGGCTGAGGCGGCAGATCACGAGGTCAAGTGGTCGAGACCATCCTGGCTAACACGGTGAAACCCTGTCTCTACTAAAAATACAAAAAATTAGCCGGGCGTGGTGGCAGGTGCCTGTAGTCCCAGCTACTCGGGAGGCTGAGGCAGGAGAATGGCGTGAACCAGGAAGGCGGAGCTTGCAGTGAGCCGAGATTGCACCACTGCACTCTAGCCTGGGCGACAGAGCGAGACTCCATCTCAAAAAAAAAAAAAAAAAAAGATATAAAAAGTAGCTGGGTATGGTGGTGTGTACCTGTAATCCCAGCTACTTGGGAGACTGAGACAGGAGGATCATGTGAGCCTGGGAGGTCGAGGCTGCAGTGAGCTCTGATTACTTCACTGCACTCAGCCTGGACAACAGAGTGAGACTTAGTCAGTCAGTCAGTCATAAATATATGAATACAACTAAAAACATAAAATTGTTCATGTATGAGAGTTTACTCAGTGGCTCACTTGTCAGTTTTTCATAAAGCAATGTGTTCCCTTGAATCTCTGCTGAAATGGAAGCGTGTCATGTGTGCTTTTCCCTGGCTGGCCTCTAGCTCTGCACCTCCATAGGTGCTGCTCTCCATCTGAGCTGGGAAACTGGGTCTGGGCTGGCCCCTGCCTCTGGTGGAGACGCAGCTGAAGCCCACCTTGCTGGAGGCCAGAGTTTGCCACTGTCCTGTACTCCCCTCCTGCTGTGTCCTTGTGCTGTGCTTGGGGGCTCGGCACACAGATGAACTTAAAGCCCGTGTTGATCTGATGCACGTGGTGGTGGGACAGGTGTGGAGGGGGGATGGCGTGGCAGAGACAGGTGGTGCTCTCCCCTCCCCCACCCGTGGAACACTGATGGCGGCTTATGGGAGCGGCCAGGTTAATTTGCAGCCACGCTGTGGTGCCTGGGACGGTACAGTGTGAAGTGCCAGCTCCTCCTGCCTCCCTTCCCTTGTGTGAGTCCCTACAGCTCAGTGCAGGCCTGCTGTTCTGCAGTCCAGGGCAGCCTTGGAGGCCCTGTGCTGTGTCCAGATATGCCCATGGCTGGCCGGCCTTGCGAGGACAGCCCAGGCCCATTACGGTTCTTGCTGGCCCAGAGCCTGGTAATTATAACTTTCTTCCCACTGAGTCTTAATTCAAGACTTTACTTTGTTCCTTGTGAGCCTGCGAGTCCAGAGGGTTCCATGCTTCAGGGAAGCCAAAGCCTGGTGCTTGCTTCGGCTGCTCAGCCAGGTTCTCAGACACATGAGAATGTTTCTCCACCCTCAGGGCTGCAGCCCACCTTCTACAGAGCTAGGAACCTTAGGCTTCACGTTATGTTTAGCTTGGATTTGTGTCATAAGTGGGCTCGATGGCTCAAATTTGTAATCTCAGCACATTGGGAAGCTGAGACCAGAGGATTGCTTGAGCCCAGAAGTTTGAGGCTGTATTGAACTATGATCGATTGCGCCACTGCACTCCAGCCTGGGCAACAGAGCAAGACCTTGCTTCCTTGCCTCCAACAAAAAAATTATCATAAAAGAAAAATCCATAATCCCAATATTTTAATGACCGTGCTTCTCATGTTGTGGTTTTCTTGTTAGTCTCTTCTGTAGCCGTGCCTGTAACACTTTTGCAATGTTAGCATCTGTAACAATTTTGTATTCTTTCATATATATATATATTTCACTTTTCAATTAGATGTAATTTCAAGCTTATAGAAAAGTTGCTGGAAGAGTACAGAAAATTTCAACATCCCCTTAACCCAGATACACCACTTGCTTTAATTTTGTAACCATGTTTCCATAGTTTTTATATCTATTTTTAAGGACTGTGTAATATTTCATTGAGTGTCTATGTGCCAGCTGACTTAATCTCTTCTTTGTTGTGAGCATGTAGCTGTTCTAAGCTTTTGCTATGATACTCAAAGCTGCAGTGAGTGGAATATTTCATAAATGTGACTTTAAAAGTCATTCTCTTAGGCTGAGCTTCTAGGAGGGATTCAAAGGGTGATTTCTATGTGTCTGAGAGATTTTGTATGTCGGTAATACTTGATTGTATTTGAAGTTTTTTTTTTTTTTGAGGAGTTTTGCTCTTGTCTCCCAGGCTTGGGTGCAGTGGCGCGATCTTGGCTTACAGCAACGTCCGCCTCCCGGGTTCAAGCGACTCTCCTGCCTCAGCCTCCCAAATAGCTGGGATTACAGGTGCCCTCCATTATGCCTGGCTGTTTTTTTTTTTTTGTATTTTTAGTAGAGACAGGGTTTTGCCATGTTGGGCAGGCTGGTCTCCAGCTTTTGACCTCAGGTGATCTGCCCACCTCGGCCTCCCAGAGTGCTGGGGTTACAGACGTGAGGCACCGCCTGAAGTTTTCTTAATGTTCAGTTTATTAAACTCTATCTGCTAAAAATGTTACCGAGCATTTAAAACGTACTGGAAAATGAAAATGTGTACATTTTATTGATCAAATTCTTATAGATATTTATTAGGAAGCCCCTTGGTCATATTTCATCAGTACTGTGTGTTTGGTTAACTCTTTCTTGTTTTTATACTTTTTTTTCTTTTCAGATGAGTCTTGCTCTGTCGCCCAGGCTGGAGTGCAGTGGTGCGATCTCAGCTCACTGCAAGCTCCGCCTCCCGGGTTCACGCCATTCTCCTGCCTCAGCGTCCCGTGTTAGCCAGGATCGTCTCGATCTCCTGACCTCGTGATCCACCCGCCTCGGCCTCCCAAAGTGCTGGGATTGCAGGCGTGAGCCACTGTGCCCGGCCCAAACTTGTTTTTATACCTTGTCTGGAGTTATAATGAATTTAGCAGATCTGTAAGAAAGAGAAGCCTTTCTCCTCCTAGCTACGGTGCTAGTCCAGAGCCAGAGTGGGGTGTGTCTTCTGGGTGGCCCTGCCTCTCTCTGCCCCCGGAACTGGTGCTGTGCTGCAGGCGCTGCCCAGCTCCTCCTATACTTGCTGCCTGCAGCCTCCCTTCTCCACCTCTGTGTTCCTCGGTTTGGGGTCACAGAATGCTCTGTCTACATTTGTTTTTGTCTTTCTTATGTGTCTTGCAATCTTTTTTTTTTTTTTTTTTGAGATGGAGTCTCGCTCTGTCACCCGGGCTGGAGTGCAGTGGCCGGATCTCAGCTCACTGCAAGCTCCGCCTCCCGGGTTCACGCCATTCTCCGGCCTCAGCCTCCCGAGTAGCTGGGACTACAGGCGCCCGCCACCTCGCCCGGCTAGCTTTTTGTATTTTTTAGTAGAGACGGGGTTTCACCGTGTTAGCCAGGATGGTCTCGATCTTCTGACCTTGTGATCCGCCCGTCTCAGCCTCCCAAAGTGCTGGGATTACAGGCTTGAGCCACCGCGCCCGGCTGCAATCTTTTTTGAAAGAAAAAACCAAAAACATATTTTTTTGACATAGTATCTGACTCTCTCCTAGGCTGGAGTGCAGTGCCACAGTCATAGCTCATTGCAGCATTGACCTCCTGGGCTCAGGCAGTTCTCCGGCCTCAGCCTCCCATGTAGCTGGGACTACAGGCACACATCAACATGCTTGGCTTATTTTATTTTATACTTTTTTTGTAGACAGGGTCTTTCTGTGTTGCCCAGGCTGGTCTTGAACTCCTGGCCCCAAGGGATTTTCCTGCCTGGGCCTCCCAAAGTGCTGGGATTACAGGTGTGAGCCACCCCGCCCGGCCTAATTTTGTATTTTTAGTAGGGAAAGGGGTTTCCACGTTGGTCAGGCTGATCTTGAACTCCCGACCTCAGGGGATCCACCTGCCTCTTCCTCCCAAAGTGCTCGGATTACAGGCCTGAGCCACCACACCTGGGTGTTTTTAGTGTTTCCAAGGATTGCAGCTTGGCTGGCGACAGTCCCTTCAGAAAGGCTTCGCTGCTCCTGTCCTGGCACAGACGCAGGAGACCCTGTGTCTTCAGACATAGCACAGACTTGAGGACCCTACTGAGATGGAGTCAAGAGCTCTCTAGGGTTCTTTGAGTGGGAGTTGAATCGGAAACCACCATCAGCACGCCTGGGCTCGCCTCGCGTTGTTCTACTGCAGTGTGGGGGGGCCATTGTCACCACCGTGAGGACACGATGGGGTCTGGGGAGGGATTGTTATGACTGTGGGTGCGCCTTGCACGTCTTGCCGACCTAGCTTTGCACACTGATCTTCCCTCCATGCCCGCTTACATTGTTAACTGGGTTTCTGCCCTCCCTCCTCTCCTTCGTATTTCTGTGTCTCATTGACAACTGTTCTGTAGTCGCTTTGTTGACAGTTGCCAAACTGCTTTCCAAAAACATTTCCACTGCAATCCCGGGTTTTGGTGCCAGCCGCAGTGGTGTGAGTACTCTCGCTTTATTATAGTCTTGCCAGCACCGGGCGTCTCTGTGTATCGTAAACACATGTGATCACCACTCTTCTCTCTCCATCCCCTGGTAATTAAAGATGTGCCGTGTATCTCTGCTCATGTTACCTTGGCCTTGGGGGGAGTTGGCTGGACCAGGCTCATGCAGCTCGAGGGAGAGGAGGAGGGCGAGGCGCTGCCCAGTGGAGTAGCGGGCATCCATGGCATGGGCAGGACTCGGGAGAGGAGGCCGGCAGCTCGCAGCAGAGCACGGGGCTCAGCTGGCCTGCCCTGTGCTTGGGGGTTGTTTTTGAGCGTTGAGAAGAGGTCCTTACACCTTAGTCCATGCATTGAGGACAAGGCTGCAGCCTTGAGCCTTACCTCCTTTTCCTCTTTGTCCTGTTTGAAATGCTTGTTCCCTGGTGCTGTAAAGAAATAGTATTGAACATTATTTAGTAAGGCCATTTTTACTTCCTGTAGAAAGGGTACACTCACCAGCAGTTTTGCCACGAGAGTGCACCAAACAAAGGAGACAGGGTCATTTATAATCTGACGTGTCCACGCTGCTTCCGTGTCTGGTTTTCATTGGCTGGAATGGGACCTCACATTCTGTATCTGTCCTGATTGGCTAGCAGCTTAGAACTTTTAAAAGAGGCAAAGGTAGAGGAAAACAAAGGAAGGAGGAAGTAACTTGTGGAATGCTGAGAAAGGTAAAAACACTTTCAAATAAGGAAGGAGGAACAGGCTATGACCTAATGTTTGATTGGACCAGTATAAGCATGTTGGGGCAAATATTTAGGCTAAATTGTGGGAGCTGAGAATACAAAGTACATTGATCATCACGGCTAGCAGATATTTAAGAACGTTAGCACAGGTCTTTGAATACGTTTAGCTTCTAAGACAAGTTACTATTTATTCCTAATTAAATGGGGACGAAAGGCTTTGAAGAACCTCTACTTTACTTTTCACAGTCACCCAGTATGACGCCGTGCCCATCCAGTCCAGCATGGTGTTATGTTCCTGCCCGTCCGCATCAATAGTGAGGACCCAGACTGAGTCCAGCACAGCCCCTGACATTCCTGATGGCAGCAGGCAGGGCCCCGCCGTGGACAGCACCGCATCTGAGGCGGCCTGAGGACTTCAAGTTTGGGAAAATTCTTGGGGAAGGCTCTTTTTCCACAGTGAGTATTTGCTGCTGCTGTGTGTCAAACGGGCATGATTTCCTTGGGAGGCTCACCTTCCTCGGGGCTTACCGGAGACTCCCACCAAGGCTGGTGTCCTTCAGGGCAGGAGGTTTCAGGCCCCTTGAGGGGTGTCAGCTGTTGTGAAGGCCTCTTGAGTCTTTGGGGGCTGGGTAACCCCCAAGCAGATCACGTGATGGGTGTGGCTAAATATTTAACCTGGTTTTGTAGATGAGAACGTTAGACACATCTCTTGATGGTCTGCGGAGGTTTTTTCTAACACAGTTAATTTCATTTTAACCTGGCATCGGCAAGTTACATTCTGTGTCCTTGTGTCCCACTGGCAGGGCCCTGGGAAGCCTTTTTTTTTCTTAGGTTGAAAGTATCTCTCCAGAGGCTTTTGGGGACATTTATTGACCTGTTTTTATTGTTGTTTTTTTTAAATACATAAAACAGTACACTCTGGACATTTGCTGGAGACACAGCCTCCAGATTCTTGTGTTCCGAGTTTCACAAACAGAAGTATTGTCGCAGTACTGTCAAGTCACACTTGTTACCTCTCTCGGGGTGTTTTTTCCTCTGAAAGCAAAGAAATGAAGGTTCAAAGCAGCTGACATGGGACGCTTTGCTGACGTGGGACCCATGAAGCTGTGTGTGGCTGTGGATTTAGTGAAAGTTGTAACAGGTTCAGGGGAGGCCTGAGCAACTCGGGGTCACCGTCTCCATCTGGGCCTCTATAAAAGAGACGGAGTCCCACGCCGCCACCGTGGTCGCCAGGGTGGCCGCCGTGTGTGTGCTAGGGCCATTCCAGGGAGCCCTGGGGGATCCTCACTCTGGACAACCTGGGTGATCTCCTGCATAATGCTTTCCTGCCTGACCTTTGTGAAGAAACCATACGTGAGGCTTATTTTCCTTTTTTACATACATGAAATATTTCACAATGCAAAGAAAAATATGAAACATAGCTTACCCATATTCCCAACATATTGCTTTAATTAATGTTAACTTTTGCTGCCCTTGCACTTTAGATTTTTTAAATTGCAGCTTTTATGAAATAATTTTGTTTATAAAAGGATTATGCCCTCATGAAAAATACCTTCAACCAGGAGACTAGTCCCCAAAGTTTTGGGACTCAGATCCTTTCAGAAAGAAGAAACTCTTTGGAAAACCTGGGCATTGTGCATGGCTGCTTACAACCGCCCAGTGAAAGAAGAGGCCTCCTCTTTTCTCGGCTTTACTGGTTTCCTTGAGACAGAGTCTTGCTGTGTCGCCCAGGCTTGAGTGCAATGGCATGATCATAGCTCACTGCAGCCTCGACTTCCTGGGCTCAAGTGATCCTCTTAACCTCAGCCCCCCAAGTAGCTGGAATTACAGGAATGCACCATCATGCCCAGCTAATTTTAAAATGTTTTGTAGAGACGGAGTCTCACTCCGTTGCCCAGGCTGGTCTTGAACTCCTAGGCTCAAGTGATTCTCTCTTCTCAGCCTTGCAAAGTGTTGGGATTACAGGCGTGAGCCACTGCGCTTGGCCTCAGTTTTACTTCCTTATATTTCTCTTTCCAATTTAAATTTAGTTTATTATGGATGTATTTATCCTTTTAGAAACAGGGTCTTGTTCTGTCACTGAGGCTGGAGTGCAGCGGTGTGATCATAGCTCACTGCAGCCTTCACCATCTGGGCTTATGTGATCCTCCTGCCTTAGCCTCCTGAGTAGCTAGGACCACAGGCATGTGCCACCATACGCGGCCCTTACATTTATCTTGACTGAAAAAGGAAGACTTATTTGTGAAATTGCCTGTTTCCCTGGGTTCCGTAGGTGGGTGGAGAGGAGGCACTGTCCCTCCTGGGGCTGCGGTCCCAGGCTTTCTGAACATGCACCAGGAAGGTGCCCGGGAGAGCGCTGTGAGCCGGAGGCTCCTTCCTGGGGCTGTTTGGAATCCACAGTACTGGTTCTCGGATTACATATGTGACCCTCAGTTCTTTCTCAGCTTTCCTGAAATAGAGATCACATAAAAGTTGACTTCCAGGGGAGGAGGAAAGGACAGTGATAGTTACGAGGCTGGGCAACAGCCAGGTGCAGCTCCGGAGAGCCGGGAGGCCCCCTGAGAACGGCCACAACCTCCAGGGAGGAACACGTCACGCGCCATTCTCTGGAAGAGGATCCTTCCTTCCTGTAGGAAACCTGCTTATAAAGTGTTGAGTTTAGACAACAGAAAGATCACGTCAGTATCCCCTTAGAAAGGGTTCCACTAAATATCCGTGCTCATTCACCATTCTTTCTTCCTTTTTTCTACTTATGAAGCTAGCACGTGCTCTCGTGGAGAAACGTGACCTCGCAGAAACACATAAGCTAGAGAGGGGAGCCCTGCCCGGCCCACGTCCCCTCCCTCCCTGGCAGCTGAGAGCCATCCATGTGTGGCGTGTTCCTCTGGGAAGATCTTGAGTACACAGAGTCCCCAGAATCCAGCTTCGTTCTTCTTGAGCGCCGCAGGGCGTCTCACGTGGTGCTTTCCGGGATCTCTTCTGACTCCTGCCCCGGGTTGCAGCTCAGAGCCTGGGGCCAGGTGGACCTGGCCCTGTGGCCTCCTGAAGGTCTTCCTGCCAGCCCCCAGGAATGTAACGGGACAGGTTTCCTCTGCTCCCTGCTCCTCAGGCCGTCCCCCTGTGGGTGTCTTAGGAGACACTTGTGTACCACTTGCTGGTGGTGGGGCCTCCCTGGCACAGCTGTCTCATGCGCTCTGGCTAAACTGCGGGCCCACCAGGAATCTCCAGTCTAGTGCCTCAGGGTGTGCCCCAGGCTAGTCCGAGTGGGGGGTCTCTCCCCTGTTCAGGTTGCCTTCTTTGCTGGAGTGTTCTGTCTCGGAGGTGGGGTTTGAGTGCAGGGCTCAGGTGTGCTACGCAGAGGACAGGGCAGGAGGCCTGCTGGCATCCCGGGAAGGTGGCTCCCTCTTGTGGGCACGCAGGGCCATGCATTGTTGGTTTAGTTCCCTGTGTCCTTTACAGCCAGGCTCTCTTCATAGTATCCGCAATCGCCAACACACGAAATGTGTGATAACACTTATTTCAAAAAATGACAATTCAGGGCAGCTTTTCAATGAATGTATACTAGAAGGACGTATTTTTTTCAAAGAAGCCCCGGCGCCCTACCACTTGTGGTGGTACCACTGTCTTCCTACTCTTCGCGAAGGGCGTGGCAGTCGAAGAGGCTCCTGAATTTATACTTGGGTTGCGCCGAAAACAATGGAGAGATGGATACGTTTTCCGTTAGCCATTAGAACACATTAACACGAGCATTGGCTTTTAGCTCTATTTGTCAGTACAAGACCCAAAATATTTCACTGTAGGTTCAAACCTTCAGTGGGGACAGGAAGCGTGTGTGTGGCGCAGAGGGAGGGACTTGTCAGACCCAGTGTCCTGGTTATTACATTGTGTTTCTTTTTCTCTTTTTCTCCTTTTCTTTCCAAACCAGGTTGTCCTGGCTCGAGAACTGGCAACCTCCAGAGAATATGCGAGTGAGTATGGGCTGCAGGGAGCTGTGCGTCTGGGAGCAGGGCCAGCGACTCCGTGCAGGGCAGCCGGGGTGGCAGGGCCGGGGTGGCAGGGCCCGGGTTTCTGTGCTGATTTCAAGGGTACAGGACACTGTTGGCTTTAGAGACCACCGGGCTTGTATGTACAATGTTTGAAAGACTTTAATTTGACCAGTTACCTTTGTGAGTCACGTCTTTAGTGTTTTTTGTTGTTTCTGATAGTAACTCACTTCTCTCTCACCTGAGTTAAAATACTGGAGAAGCGACATATCATAAAAGAGAACAAAGTCCCGTATGTAACCAGAGAGCGGGATGTCATGTCGCGCCTGGATCACCCCTTCTTTGTTAAGCTTTACTTCACGTTTCAGGACGACGAGAAGCTGTGTATCCTTTGCGTGGTTGGTGCCGTCTGAAGCCACACCAGTCACCCCTCTCTCGGAATCAGACCCTGTGTGTTCCCACAAGCAGCCCCCGCTCCCTGCCGAGTGGGGTCCCTCAGGCCACTGACATTCAGGGAGGCAGCCGAGGCAGCGCCAGGGTGTGGCTGTGAGTCTCCACAGGACGTTACCTCCCAGAGAAGCCGTTGATGCGGCTCCAGCACAGTCCCCTCTGCTGCGGCTTGCTTGGTCGGTGTCCCTTGCTCCCCTAGAGCGCCATCTTTTGTGTTTTTAAACCTTGGCTCAGGAATCTGGGAGGCAAGGCCCGGTGGAAGTTGGGGTGGGCCCCACCTCTTCCCCATCCAGCTCACCCGTGGGCCTGCCAGTGGCTGGGCTGGCCACACTGTCCTCGCCTCCAGCAGGTGCAGTCTGCATCTGCTCTTTTCCTCCCCTGCCACCCTCCAAGCTGGCCCAAGTGTCGTGGCCTTCCCATCCTGCCTGGAGAGGGGCCTGAGTCCTCCCACCTGTCCTCCCCGTCTCTCCCGAGCACCCGGCTCTTCTGTGTTAGAGCTTTGCTCTGGCCCTGCTCCCACTCTTCGCACCATCCTGCAGCTCCTTCGGCTGCCGGCAGAGTGTGTGTGCTCTCTTTGTTGGGAGGCGCTTGCCAAGTGCAGGTTGATGGGTGATGGGGATGTGCTGGTATGCCGGGGGACGTCTCTGCCCTCGAGAAGCTTCGATGTTGGTGGAGGAGCTGGATTTGCACAGAGTGTCCGTGTCAGAGGCTTCCCGGCAGCAAGATGTGCTGCCAAGAGTCTTAGGGCTGGCGGCAGTGTGGGGCTCTTTAAACTCCTGGGCAGGAGTGGGGGGGGGGTGGGGGCATGAAAGGCTGTGATGGGCTGGGCCCCTGAGCCCTGGCAGCCTGGCACTGACTCTGGACTTCCTTCTCTTTGTGGCGGGGAATGTGGGGTTTGCTCTGGCTGCTCCCAGGCCAGGCGGGAGAACAGGCAGGAGAGCAGGGGCAGGGGCAGTGGTCGAGGTGTTTTGAACAGACTGGTCAAGAGAATGGAGTCAGGGGCAGCTCCGGGGAGTTGGCCCTCAAGCCTAGTGCACAGCGGTGTCTGCTGCTGAGCTGGGAGAGACCGGGAAGGGTACTGGGCTGGCGTGTCATGCATCCACGGGTGCCACTGTTCAGGTCTGGGTGGACACTTAGGTGCTGCCAGCAGAGCTCCAGGAGGAGTCAGGGCCATGAGGACTTTCACAGCGAGCTGGCAGGCTGCCCAGAGGATGGCTCCTCTGTGGGTGGAGCCTGGGTTCCCCCAGTGCAGGGGGTGAACATGGGGAGGGGCCCACCGAGGAGAGGAGATTGTGACGGGGTGTTGCTCCTTTGATCCTGAGACCCAGAGGCCACGGGATCAAACGGTTTCTGATGGAGGGTGCTGGCTGCCCACGCAGGGGCTTTGAAGCGGTCAGGTGCACACAGCCTGACCCGTGCATCTGCCCCGTGCCAGTTGTTGATGGTGGGTAGGCAGTTTCTTGGGGGGACCGTTCAAGGAAGAGTAAGAGGTGAGGAAATGGAGACGATGCAAGGTGCTTCCCTGGGATTTTGCCTAGAGAGGAGCAGGGCAGTGGCTGAACAGCTGCCAGGCACGTGGCCCGGGGCGGGCTTTGCTGTTGGTTTGTGGAAGGTTTTAGAGAATGCTGGCCTCCAGACAGGCCTGCTGTCCTCCAGTGTCATCCCTGTTCCTGCCTCTGTCCCCCGCCCTCAGTGACTTCTTCACGGTATGTTCTCTCACCTTCACAGCTGCCCCAGCCCCTCTTGGGTGCCCCCGGGCTCTGCATGTCTCTGCCCCCGTTTGAGCCCCGGGGGTCCCTCTGGGCTTCCCGCAGAGCCCTCGGAACACGGCTGCTTGTTGGTTGTGAGGCTGCAACAGAATTGCACACGCTTGACCTCTCCCATCCTGTCCGCCCAGGGGCTCAGAGTCCAGAGGAGAGCGAATTTTGCTGACTGATTTCCACTTGGGATTGGCCATAGCAGTGCAGGTAGTGGGAACTCCAGATCTTTGTCCAGTGGTCCATGTTGCCCTTCGTCATTAAGTCAAATTCCAAAGCCCCGGGAGGTTGTTAAGGTTCACTCACCGCTGAAAGGAACGAGACCCAGGGACTTAGGCCCCACCAGGCATCCTCGGTGTGGGTTGTATTTAGAGATGGGCCTGTACAGGGGCCACTTTGGGCAGCCTTGGTTGCAAGTCCCTTCCCTTCTGGGGTTCTCCTCATTGCCCTGAAGCTTCAGGTTCATCCTTGGTGGGAGATGATGGTACCCTGGCAAACAGAAGCCAGAACTGAGCCGGCAGGCCAGCCTGGCTGTGAGCACGAGCCCCACTTCCTGGCCTCGAGAGCCACTGCTCAGGGCAAGCAAGGACTTGGGTCCCCGTGTCCTGGGCTGCAAGTAAGTGTGAAGTATCTGGAGGTTTCCGGTAATGGGGATAGACGTTTGCCGCTCCAGGGGAATCTGTATATGGGGTGCATTTGTTGTCGGCCTTAAGTCCTCTTGGAAAAGGAGGCTACAGATGGGGCCATCACAGAGCAGTGGTGCCCCGAGGAGGGGGCCCTCCCAGACACACTTAATGAGTGTAGAAGTTCACGAAATGGCTTTTGTCTTACAAAGTGTGTCACTTGGCCAGGCGCGGTGGCTCACGCCTGTAATCCCAGCACTTTGGGAGGCCAGGCGGGCAGATCACAAGGTTAAGAGATGGAGACTATCCTGGCTAACATGGTGAAACCCCGTCTCTAGTAAAAATAGAAAAATTAACTGGGCATAGTGGCACGTGCTTGTAGTCCCTGCTACTCGGGAGGCTGAGGCAGAAGAATCGCTTGAATCTGGGAGGCGGAGGTTGCAGTGAGCCGAGGTAGCACCAGTGCACTCCAGCCTGGTGATAGAGTGAGACTGCATCTTAAAAAAAACCAAAACATAATGTGTCACTTTATCCATGGAAGGAGCCTGCAAGGAAGGGGCGGTGCCACGCATGGATGCCCTGTCTCAGGGCAGGGCCTGCCGCGTTCTCCGCCCCCCGCTCCCCCGGCCCCCAGGATCTTTGTGCATTGAAGCCTGCACGTGAGTTATGTGTGCTTTTTAGTCAGGGTCTGTAGGCCCTGTCTCCAGCGGTCCGCTTTCACTGAAGCCACAGACACCGCCAGGGGCCAGAGGGGCAGTCGGGGCTGAGAGGCTCTGTTCCCGTTTCCTTGAGACAGTGTAATGGTGTTCTTGATGAGAAACCCCTCATCAATGCTGGTGCCTCATCTTGGAGCTGGGGCCTGGGGTGCCCGTCAGATCCAGGGACATGACTTTCTTGGGCCACAGGTACTTTCAGTTTGCATTTAATTAAAACCAATTCTGATCAGTCTTTTAAGGCTAGTTTTCAAGAAATGACTTTTACAAAATAAATACATTAGCCAGGCGTGGTAGCGCCTACCGATATTCCCAGCCACTTGGGTTGGTTAAGGAGGGAGGATCGCTTGAGCCAGGGAGGTTGAGGCTGCGGTGAGCTATGACTGTGCCCCTGCACTCCAGCCTGGGCAGCAGAGTAAACCTGTTCCAAAACAAAACAAAAGATTTTTACACTTCCTTAACTGCACAATATTCAGATTTCGGCCTTAGTTATGCCAAAAATGGAGAACTACTTAAATATATTCGCAAAATCGGTTCATTTGATGAGACCTGTACTCGATTTTACACGGCTGAGATTGTGTCTGCTTTAGAGTACTTGCACGGCAAGGGCATCATTCACAGGTAACCTCGGGGGTGGCTGGGTGGGGTTTACAGGATGTCAGTTTAATGATTAGGGCCAGTGACCATTTGGCTCACAGGCCACAGCTGATGCCCAGATGGTCCCCGCCCTTGAGGTCAGCCTGGTTGGAGTGCTCCCTGGATGGGTGTGACTGAGATGCCTGCCGGTGCCACAGCGGGAGCGCCAAGGCAAGGCCACACGTCCATGGAGCCCTGACATGGAGAAGCCGTCCTGCAAATGCCACATCAAATGATTTCGTGTCTTTCCCGGCAAGCTAATGATTCTTTTCACCATCTTGACTGATGCGTTTTATCTTTTTCTGTGGTACCTTCTGTGTGTACTTCTTTCTGGTCTGATTTTCCATGACTTTCTGATAAAGTCATCTCAGAAGTGTGCACAGCTGTCATCTTGTGTGTTAAAAATGATAGATTATACTTCATTAAAAAGCTAATTAGAATGGCATGGAGATGTGAGGCGGTAAATCCCTACTGTGTACAGTGAAACTTGTTGCTTGTGAGCTTTCGGCCCGTATCCCCTGGTTGTCAGCCTGTAAGGATCATAAGCATTCATTCGTTCATTTTGTTTTCAGCAAAATTTAGAGTACGTAATAATGTTGCTGTTTCACGTATTTCTTCTCAAATGTGAAAATCTACTTTTACAGGGACCTTAAACCGGAAAACATTTTGTTAAATGAAGATATGCACATCCAGATCACAGATTTTGGAACAGCAAAGGTCTTATCCCCAGAGAGCAAACAAGGTGTGTGAGTTTTATTTCTAGCAGAGCCTGGCTGCGTGCTTAAGATGGAGAGCGACTTCTGAGGAGTGTGTTGCATTGTGTCATCTTCATTAACGACAGAGGTGGGGACACCTTGGCTGTCCTCAAACCGATCTTGAACTTTCTCTGGGCAAGACCCTGCCTTGCCAGCAGGTCTTCCTGCGGGGGCCCCAGGCAGTGTGTGCTGGTGTAGAGGGGGAGGGTACTGGTTCTCCTCAGCGTCTGCTCTGGTTCATCCTCCCTGCTCGTCTTCTGGACAATGCGGGGAGCCACATTCGTACCCAGTCACCCGTGTGCGGGACTGGGAGCCGTGTGGTCAGCTCCTGGCTCCTCCTGGCTGTATCGCAGGTAGGATCTGGGGGCGCACATCCCTGTACCTCAGTGCCCTCGCTCCGTTACCTGTCCGTCTGTCTCCCTGCTGGCCACGTGCATGTTTGTCATCACGAAGCCCCGGTCCTGTTCCCAAGGGTAGTTTCTAGCCTTGGACCCTGTTGTGGCAGCTCCATCGGAGATGTTGCTGAAAGTCCACTTGGGCCAGAGAAGTGGCCTAGGTTGTCTGAGCCAGCTGGGGCGTCTCGATGCCCTTCAGGTGCTTATTGGGTAAAAGTCATAAACTCTGGAGGTGTAAAGAAAGACAGTTGAAATTCTTTTTTTTTTTTTTTTTTTTTTGAGACGGAGTCTCGCTCTGTCGCCCAGGCTGGAGTGTACTGGCCGGATCTCAGCTCACCACAAGCTCCGCCTCCCGGGTTTACGCCATTCTCCTGCCTCAGCCTCCCGAGTAGCTGGGACTACAGGCGCCCGCCACGTCGCCCGGCTAGTATTTTGTATTTTTTAGTAGAGACGGGGTTTCACCGTGTTAGCCAGGATGGTCTCGATCTCCTGACCTCGTGATCTGCCCGTCTCGGCCTCCCAAAGTGCTGGGATTACAGGCTTGAGCCACCACGCCCGGCCTGACAGTTGAAATTCTGAAGGCTGCTCGGGAGTGCTGGGTAGAGAGAAGATAAAGCCTTGGGGTGAGGTTTGGGGAAGCTGAAGGCTGTTGTGTGCATTATAAGTGATCTTGAAGATGAACCTCGGGTGATTGCTGGGGTCTGTCTGGGTCAAGAGGCTGGGTCCAAGGGCCTCCAAGTGGTGCATGAGCCCCTGCCTGGGCTTGGGGTGCCCGTCAGAGAAAGGCCTCCCTAGAGAGCTCTGGGGGGGTCAAAGGTGCTGGAGACCGGTTTGGAGGGACGTGAGTGCAGGTTTGTTGGTGGAAGAAAGATTCAGATAGAAGTGACCGTGTTGTAGCTGCTCTCGTGTGGAAAAGGGGAACCGTGATCACGGAGCGGTGGTGGTTCTGGCCTCATCTCCACAGACGGCGAGCTGGCCCCCAGTAGCTGGAGGAGAGCACAGCTGGGGGGAGAGCAGGCCCTTTAGCAAGGCAGGCACTCCGGACTCAGCTCGGCGTTTCTGTTTCTTAGGAATTGGCCCTGTACTCTGTGTGCTGGGAGGTACCCAGCTGGTGCCTGTGGGGCCTCTCTTGGCACCTTGAGGTAGTGGCTCGTTTCCTCCACTGGGCCGTATCTTTCCCTTCTGGGTGTTTCCAGCCCTGTGTTTTCACACTCAGGGCTCTGGTTAAGATTCTGTCAGTTGGTGCTTTCATCTCTGCACAGTCATGGAGGCCCTAAGACGCTGTCTTGGATTTGGGAACTTCTCTGAGAATCCTCAAACATCACCCTGGCTGTGCATGGGGACTCACACCTGTAATCCTAGGTCTTTGGGAGGCTGAGGCAGGGGGATCGTTTGAGGCCAGGAATTTGAGACCAGCCACTGGGCAACATGGTGAGACTCCATATCTACAAAAACAACAAAAATCATCCTGGTGTGATGGCATACACCTGTAGTCCCAGCTACTCGAGAGGCTGAAATGGGAGATTGATGGTGTAGTGAACTAGGATGATCCCACTGCACTCCAGCCTGGGTAACAGAGTGATCAACTGTGTTAAAAAATAGTAGTAATAAATAAAAAATAAAAAAAGCCTGTAATCCCAGCACTTTGGGAGTCCACAGCGGGTGGATCACGAGGTCAGGAGATCGTGACCATCCTGGCTAACACGGTGAAACCCCGTCTCTACTAAAATATAAAAAATTAGCCGGACGTGGTGTTGCGTGCCTGTAGTCTTAGCTACTCAGGAGGCTGAGGCAGGATACTCGCTTGAACCCGGGAGGCAGAGGTCGCGGTGAGCCACGATCGCACCACTGCACTCCAGCCTGGGCAACAGAGTGAGACTCCGTCTCATAAATAAATAAATACGTAAATAAAACATCACCCTTTTGGGGTTAAGATGGAAACCAGCCATCAAGCCAGAGCCTCTTGTTTTCTAAGGTGGCTTAGTTCTGCTGCCCTCCGCTGCCTTTTGTAGCCCACCTGTTCCCCTCCCCGTCCAGTGGCATGCAGGAATGCGCACCTCCCGCCCAAAGCTGCGCAAAGCCAGGGAAGTCTTCCTGGCGTTTCAGACAAGCTCTGAAACCTTGATCTGTTTGACTCATTCCTGTTAAATAGTAACCGTTTTACTGACTGGTAATCCTATTTCTGTGTACACAGTGTAACCTCATATCCCTCAGTGTTGTCTGTGACAAAGTTGGACCAAACAGGAACTTCTGTCTCGCAAGCTTTCTTAGGATCTGTCAGTGTCTTGCTGTCCTTGTGCTGACTTCCTGCCCAGAGATGAGCCCACAACATTCCGTGGGGGCAGGAGAGCTGCAGGCTGGCTCTGCCCACAGTCAGCCCCGGGAACCACTCTCTGGGCTGTGCCCGCGGTCAGCCTCAGGAACCATCTCCCTGGGCTCTGCTCTGGGCAGTTTTCCCTTCATGTGGATTTTCTTTCTTTTTTCCCTCCTCCCTTATTCCAAGGCTTTATTTATTCATAATTTCAACGTTTATTTTAGATTCAGAGGATCCATGTGCAGGTTTGTTATGTGGGTAGATATTCTTTCGAATCTGGTATTTGGCACAGGGATAGTCTTGATGCCCTGTCGCCACTTAAAAAAAATAGGCATTTAAGTGCGCTGATGAAATAGTGAAATAGCCTGGGCCCAGTGGCTCACGCCTGTAATCCCAACACTTGGGGAGGCCGAGGCAGGTCGATCATTTGCGCCCAGGAGTTTGAGACCAGCTTGGGGAACACAGCAAAATTATGAAGCGATCTTATGTGTCTCTACATAAGATAAAAAACAAAAATTAACTGGGCGTGGTAGTGCGTGCCTGTAGTCCCAGCTACTCAGGAGGCTGACGTGGGAGGATCACCTGAGCCTGGGATATTGAGGCTGTAGTGAGCCGTGATCCTGCCACTGCACTGCAGCCTGGGCAACAGAACAAGAGCCTGTCTCTGGAAAAAGAGAAGAAATCGTGAAGTAAACCTTTGCTTTTTGGTAGCAGGAGGCTAAAAATCTTTACATCATTGTAAACCAGGGCCAGTTGTTTGTGTGTATAGAAGATGTGGTAGTTCTTTTCCTGTTGTTTGAGGAAAAGGAAAAAACTATAATTTATGTGGAGGATTAATTTTGGTAACTTATTTTCTGTTTGAGGTAGTTCAGTATCTTGGAATTGCTTCCTGCGTTGGCTTCTTTTGTGCAGAGATGGCTTCCCCAAAACATCTTCCAATCCAGAATAAAAGTGTTGATGGGAGCAAGGCATACCCAGGTTCCTTACCTGTGCAGCAGCTGTGCCACGCCCTCCTCCTAGAGGGAGGCAGGTTTTCTCATCGTCCCTGTGGGGTGGGGTGGCCCCATATCTGCAGGGGGAGGTGGTGGGAGATGGAGCAGGGCAGTAGTGTGGGCTTGGGAGATTGAGGAGGACCTCCTGGCAGAGAGGACTTCTGCCTCCTCTCCTTGTACAGGAGCCCGTGAATGCATCCTGGTGAGGGCGGCTCACTCAGAGGAAGCTTCCCACCTGGGGTGTCTCTGGCCTGTGCTCTCTTTGCAAGGACCTTGAGGAGCTCGCGGTGTCCTCGGAGCTTCAGACTTGGAGTGGGGTTTGGACACCTGTGTTCTGACCTGTGCAGGCCTTTCTGGTATGCAGCCAGGTGTAGAGGCGCCACTCACCAAACAGGAAGGAGAGGAAGGCCAGCAGGTGTGGGCGGGGCTGGCTGGAGAGGGTGGATGCTGTAGGCTTTAGTCACTCCTCTGTCCCCTCTGTGCACGGCCATTGTCCAGACCCTCAGACTAGCTGCCATTGTGCTTCCCACTATGCTGTGGACTCTAGACGCTCTCCTGAGGGCCACAGCGGCCTTGAGCTTGCCACCTTTCTAGCTTAGGCTGGATCACCCGTCCCCGGCACAGAGAGGAGCTGCCTTCAAAATGGATTTTCCTGTGTGACGGAAAGTGGAATTTGCACAATGAAAGAGAGTGTCCCCATTCTCCCATCACCAAGAGCAGCTCTTCCCATCTTCAGATGGTTTATTTTGGTCTTTTCCAGATTGGCATTCATTTAGGATTGGCTGTGATGCATGGGGCTGGGGAATGTGTTTATTTTTTTAAAACAGAATTACTGCTTGTTGTGAAAAATTCACTCAGTACTAGTGACCTGATGCCCAGCATGCTCAATTGGTTTTCCCTGTAAAAATTCCAGTATGTAGGCCGGGCGCGGTGGCTCAAGCCTGTAATCCCAGCACTTTGGGAGGCCGAGACGGGTAGATCACGAGATCAGGAGATCGAGACCATCCTGGCTAACACGGTGAAATCCCATCTCTACTAAAAAATACAAAAAACTAGCCAGGCGAGGTGGCGGGCGCCTGTAGTCCCAGCTACTCGGGAGGCTGAGGCAGGAGAATGGCGTGAACCCGGGAGGCGGAGCTTGCAGTGAGCTGAGATCCGGCCACTGCACTCCAGCCTGGGCGACAGAGTGAGACTCCATCTCAAAGAAATAAAATATAAAAAATTCCAGTATGTATCGCTGAAATACAAGTCTTTTTAAAAGCATAACCGCAGTACCATACTGTTTTATACATAAAAATTAACAGTCATTGCTTAATATCTCAAAGTGTGCAGTTATATTTCCAGTTCATTTGCATCTGTGTGGCGTTGTTGAACATGGTGCTCTCTCCTGGCCACTATATCACATTCAGAGTTGATTCTCCCCTCCCTGTTCAGAGACTGGTGTTGGGTGTTATTTATTAGGCATCTCTCTGTGACAGCAGCAGCATTTGTGGCCATCGTTGGCCTAAATTCATTAACTCAGTGCAGAGAGTGCAGAAAGGTTATAGCTTAATATATTCATGAGATGGAATTCATTAAAGAGAAACTTCTCCCCAGCAACTTTTGGGTTAACTCGTGGTATCATTTGTAAAGGAAAAGTAGGATAAATGCTTCTTTCCCCCTTTCATGCCAGTTTTGAAAACCACAAATTGATTCACTGTTATCTTCCAATGACGATTAGTTCATAAAAAAGTTACTACCCTTCCTCACACCATACACAAAAGCTCACTCCAGGGCTGGGCGCGATGGCTCACACCTGTAATCTCAGCACTTTGGGAAGCTGAGGCGAGTGGATCACCTGAGGTCAGGAATTTGAGACCAGCCTGGCCAACATGATGAAACCCTGTCTCTACTAAAAATACAAAATTTACGGCTGGGCGCGGTGGCTCACGCCTGTAATCCCAGCACTTTGGAAGGCCGAGGCAGGCGGATCACCTGAGATCAGGAGGTCGAGACCCACCTGACCAACGTGGTGAAACCCCGTCTCTACTAAAAATACAAATTAGCTAGGTGTGGTGTGCATGCATAATCCCAGCTACTCAGGAAGCTGAGTCAGGAGAATCACTTGAACCTGGGAGGCGGAGGTTGCAGTGAGCTGAGATCCACACTATTGCACTCCAGCCTGGGCAACAAGAGAGAAACTATCTCAAAAAAAAAAAAAAAACAAAAAAACCCAGGTGTGGTAGCGGACTCCAATAATCCCAGCTACTTGGGAGGGTGAGGAAGGAGAATTGCTTGAACTTGGGAGGCAGAGGTTGCAGTGAGCCGAGATCACAACACTGTGCTGCAGCCTGGGCAACAGAGCAAAACTCCGTCCCCCAGCCTCCCATCTACCCCAGTCACCAAAAAAAAAAAAAAAGTTAACTCCAGGCTGGGCATGATGGCTCACACCTGTAATCTCAGCACTTTGGGAAGCAGAAGCAGGCAGATGACTTGAGGTCAGGAGTTCGCGACCAGCTGCCCATCTCTACTAAAAATACAAAAGTTAGCCAGGCATGGTGATGTGCGCCTGTAATTAATCCCAGCTACTTGGAGTAGGGGCTGAGGCAGGAGACTCACTTGCACCTGGGAGACGGAGGTTGCAGTGAGGCGAGATCGCACTACTGCGTTCCAGCCTGGGCGGTGGAGTGAGACTCCATCTCAAAAAAAACGTTCACTCTGAATGCATTAGAGGTCTGAATGTAAGGGCAATAACTGTGACACTCTTAGAGGAAAGTATAGGATTAAATGTGATAATTGGTTTAGGCAATGTTTTCTTAGATACACTGCCAAAGGCATAAGCAACCAAAGAAAGGATGAGTTAGATTTATGTCAAGTTTTTTTTTTGAGATGGAGTCTTGCTCTGTCCCCCATGCTGGAGTGCAGTGACTCAATCTCGGCTCACTGCAAGCTCTGCCTCCCGGGTTCACCCTCCTCCTGCCTCAGGTTTCGGAGTAGTTGGGACTACGGGCGGCCCCGACCACGCCAGTCGAATTTTTTTTATTTTTAGTAGAGACAGGGTTTCACCGTGTTAGCCAGGATGGTCTCGATCTCCTGACCTCATGATCCACCCGCCTCAGCCTCCTAAAGTGCTGGGATTACAGGCGTGAGCCACCGCGCCCAGCTATATCAAGTTGAAGCACTTTTGTGCTTCAAGGGATATCACGAAAGTGAAAAGACCCACCAAATAGGAGACACACTCTGCTAATCATCTGTCTGATAAGGGACTTGTATCCAGAATGTAAAGAACTCAGAGGGAGGAAAAAAAAATAAAGCACGGAACAAAGGGTATGACTAGACATTTTTCCAAAGAAGAGATATACGAATGGCCCATAAGCACATGCAAAGTTACTCAATATCATTAGTGCTTAGGAAAATGTAAATCAAAACCACAGGGTGATACTACTTCACACCCACTAGGATGGCTGTGATCAGAAGACAGATATAACAAATGTTATCAAGGATTGGGGGGATTGGAACCCACATATGCCATGGGTGGGAATGTCAGATAGTACAGCTACTTTGGAAAACAGGGTGGCAGCTCCTCAAAAGGAAACAGAATTACCATATGACCCTGCAATTCCACTCCTAGGTGTGAACCCAAAAGAAATGAAAACACACATTCAGACAAAAACAGGTGCTAGAATGCCCATAGCATTATTTACAGTAGCCAGAAGGTGGAAACGATGCACGTCATCAAATGAGTGGATGAGTGAGTGGCGTCTCCACACAACGAGGGAATCTTCTCCAGCCCTAAGGAGGGATGAGGTACTTATACATGCTGCCATGCAAATGGGCGTTGAAAACACTGCCTGAGGTGAAAGCCTGCTGGGATCTGAGAAGGGATTGAGTCTGGAGATGAGCTTACAAGGCGTTACCATTGTTAACCCATGTTAAGTCTTCTGAGCCATCAACGTGGGATGTCTTTCTGTTTATTTAGATCTTTCTTTCAAAAACACTTTGTAGTTTTCAGAGTATAAGCTTTATGCTTCTTTTGTTACATTTATTCTTATTTATTTTTAATGTTACTCTAAACAGAGTTATTGGCTGGGCATGGTGGCTCACACCTGTAATCCCAGCACTTTGGGAGGCCCGGGTGGGTGGATCACCTGAGGTCAGGAGTTGGAGACCAGTTGAGGCTGGAGGATCACTTGAACCTGGGATGCGGAGATTGCAGTAAGCTGACATCACACCACTGCACTCCAGCCTGGGCAACAGAGTGAGATTTTGTCTCAGGAAAAAAAAAAAAATAGAGTTGTGAATTTTCTTTCCTTTTTTTCCTTTTTTTTTTTTTTTGAGATGGAGTCTCGCTCTCTCGCCCAGGCTGGAATGCAGTGATGCAATCTCGCCTCACTGCGAGCTCCGCCTCCCAGGTTCATGCCATTCTCCTGCCTCAGCCTCCTGAGTAGCTGGGACTACAGGTGCCCGCTACGACACCCGGCTAATTTTTTTGTATTTTTAGTAGAGATGGGGTTTCACCACTTTAGCCAGGATGATCTCAATCTCCTGACCTTGTGATCCGCCCTCCTCGGCCTCCCAAAGTGCTGGGATTACAGGCGTGAGCCACCGCGCCTGGCCTTCTTTTTTTCTTTTCTTTTCTTTCTTTTTTTTGAGACAGAGTTTCGCTCTTGTCGCCCAGGCTGGAGTGCAGTGGCACGATCTCAGCTCACCACAACGTCTGCCTCCCGGATTCAAGTGATTCTCCTGCCTCAGCCTCCTGAATAGCTGGGATTACAGGCGCACACCACCATGACCAGCTACGTTTTTGTATTTTTAGTAGAAACGGGGTTTCACCACGCTTATGGATAAGATGGTCTTGAACTCCTGACTGCAGGTGATCCGCCTGCCTCGGCCTCCCAGAGTGCTGGGATTGTGAATTTTATTTTTGGATTGCTCCTGGAAATTGTGTGGAAATGCAGTTGCTTTTTCCTGCCCTGCACCCTGCTGAGCTCTCCTTAGTTGTCATAGCTTCTCAGTGGAGTCCCCAGGACTTTGTGCACACAGGATCCTGTCATCTGTGGTTCGAGCTAGTTTTACTTCTTCCCTTTCAACCTGGCTGCCTTTTATCTTCTTCCCTAACTGCCCTGGCTGAGACCTCTAGTACGGTGTTGACTGGACGTGGTGAACAGAGCGCCCTGGTCGTAGGGAGAGCGTGGAGTGTTTGACCGTCGAGCACGATGTTGGCCTTAGGCCGTGCGTGCCCTCTGTCAGACTCTGGGCCCTCCCTTCTGTGCCTCGGCTATTCCGTATTTTTGTCCTATAGAGGTGGGGAATTTTTGTTAACTGCATTTTCTGTATCTATCGAGGTGGTCCTGTGTTTTCCTTAGTGCTTGATTCTAATGAGATGCAACGCATTGCTTTTTGTATTTTGAACCAGTCTTGCACTGTGTCATACATCCTCTTGGTCATGGTGCCTAGTCCTTTTCAGATGTTGCCGCATTTGGTTTGCTGGTGTTTCGTCCAAAGGGTAGTCCCATTTTGTGGAGCGTTCTTCTGTGCTTCTTTGTGGGTTTGTGGACAAGATGGTAGCCGGCACCCTTGGCTTTGAAGAGAGTGTGGGTGTCTCGTGAGCTCAGGATCCCTTCTTCAGGTCTTCCCTCCCCAGCGCCCCCTCCAAGTACGACTGGCAGATCTGGGGGACTATGGGTGGTCCATGGAGTTTCTTTGATGAGGGTGGAGACAACAACCCAGCCGAGACCTCACTGTCGGTAGTCCCGTGGCATGCGGGGGCAGCAGCGGCCAGTGCAGGTCTCTGGGCCTGAGTTTCCAGCAGCTGGAGAGGCGTGAGCTTTGGCCAGTCTCTGAGCCTCCCGGGAGAAGTAACTAGGTGGTCTCTGAGGTTTCCTTACGCTCTATCTGGGGCTCTCAGCTCGGATGTCACAGATAGAAGTCAGGGGATCCGTGAGGCTGGATAGGAGGAAATTCCTAATTTTCACGAACCTTTCAGCAAAGCGTACCATTTCCTTCCATTATGAACATCAGCAACAAATGTCTGTCATCAGAAGTCACAGGTATTCTCATGTCATGCTGCAGGGGTCACATCACGGTAGTGACGCCATGCCACTTGTGCCGAGCACCGCTGCCGGGTTACTGCGGCGTGACCCGCTGCTGTGTCATGCCGGTCACATATTACTACATCACAGATCCATCACTGCAATAATTTGATATGTGTATTGAATTATAATTGCTTTCTCCTATAGTCCTGTGTATTTTATGGATTTGGAACATTATTCCAAGGGTAGCCATCTTCTCCACACTCTAGCGGCGCTGTTTGTCTCTAGATTAACTAAGAACAGATGTCCTTTCCCAAGGCGGTGACTTTGCGTATGCCCAGAGGCTCGGAGTCCCACCTTTAGGAAGGTGTGGCAGGGTGAGGGTGGGCAAGCCCTAAGGAAAGAAGAGAGGGTGGGAAGACCCTTGGGGAGCGAGGAGGAGCTGAGGGTGGAGCTCCTGAGGGTGGAGAGGGCAGGGAGGATTCCGGGAGATCCGAGCCCAGAGTCCGGCTGCGGGAAGGTGAGAACAGCAGCAGCGGTAGCAGCATCGAGGGCCCTACCAGCGTGGAGCTCGCTATGTAGCACTCGTCTGAGAGATGGGGCGGGTGTTGGTGCACAGACTTGCTCTGTGCACAGCCTTGCTGTTTAAAAACACATATGGCTCTGTGTGCTGCACGACAACCTCAATCATTTAATTATGCATTATATACATCTCTCCATAGGAGAAAGACACATTTTTAGACTTTTTAATGATGGCATTTAAAAAAATACAAGTCACAAAAGCAACGCTCGATGATAGTAAAGAACAGAAACACTGAATAGGTAGATGGAGCGAGTGGCATCCCGTCCTGCCGGCAGACGCAGCCCTCGTCACCGTGCCACACCGGACCCTGAAGGACAGATCCGGCATGGAGAGGGAACTGCAGGGTCAGGGAGGCAAACATCTTTGTGACTTCTGACGCTCATTGGAAAATTGCCCCCAGAAGCGATGCCATTTTACAGCCCCACCCGTAGCGCGGCGTCTGTCCCCTCAGATCCCTGCCAGCGCTATGTATTTTTATTCTTTTTCCCCTTTGCCAATGTGATAGGCTGTGGTGTTCTAATTTGCATTTCTTTGATTCATTGCAGGGCTGAATGGCTTCGTTTGTTTTTGGCTCTTGGTTTGGTTTGCTTTCCTCTAGGCCAGCGGGGGCGAGTGCGTGTTTGCGGATGTCCTTGGTGTTCTTGGCAGGATCACTGAGGGTCCTGGCAGGATGCACATGCAGCCATGAAGTCTTTGTTTTTTGTTTATTTTTTGAGACAGGGTCTGGCTCTATTGCCTAGGCTAGAGTACAGTGGCGCAATTGTGGCTAACCGCACCCTCAACTTCTGGGCTCAAGCGATCCTCCTTTCTCAGCCTCCCAAGTAGCTGAGACTAGAGGTGCACCACCATGCCTGGCTAATTCCTGAAATTCTTTCTAGACACGGAGTCTCACTATGTTGTTCAGGCTGGTCTCAAGCTCCTGGCCTAGAGCAGTCCTCCTGCCTTGGCCTCCCAAAGCAGTGGGACTGCAGGCGTGAGCCCCCGCACCTGGGCAGTCATGAAGTCCGCAAAAAAGTCATTCACTGAAGGGAACGGGTCCCCGCAGCAGAGGCTGTGAGGTTCTCTCAGCCTGGCCGGAGGAGGGCAGGTGGAAGGGACAACTCAGAACCGGCCCAGGCAGGGCCGGTGTGGACAGCAGCTGCGTGGTGGCCCCGGGCCAGCTCGTGCTGTGGCTCTGCTCTGTCACAGCCCCTCTGTAGAGGAAGGCCCTTGGGCTGGAGGCCTGAGTCTTGTTCCCTTTGTAGCGCCTCAGCTCCCAAGCTGTTTGTGATGGAAAGGAGGTTGTTTCTGGCCTGCAACTGTTTGTGTACCTGGGCACGTTTGGATACCCCAGGTCCTGCAGTGAGCCAGCCAGGACCGTGTCCTCATGCCCTCCGTTGAGCGGGTGCCACCGGCAGAATGCACTGGACGTTTGTGTGCAGCTCGCTCTCCAGGCGCGTGTCGGGTGGGAGCGCCAGGGTGGAGGGTGCCAGTGTCCAGATGTCAGGCAGGCGTCTTTGAGCAGGTGAGCCGTGAGCCAGCCCCGGTGTGGCCTGGACAAGTCTGGCTCCTGGGGGTGCATGGTCCGCCATGTGCGACACCCACCTCGCAGCCCTGGATTGTCACAGATCGTGAGTCTGAGCGTGACCTTCTCTCTCCTCTGCAGCCAGGGCCAACTCATTCGTGGGAACAGCGCAGTACGTTTCTCCAGAGCTGCTCACGGAGAAGTCCGCCTGTAAGAGGTAAAAACCACTTTCATCTAAGCCGTACTTCCCTTTTCTTTAACATAGAAATTAATATTCGAGAGGGTGAATTTGGTGGCCTTTAAGTAGCTAAGCATACTTTGAAAGAAATCAGCATTTCGCATTTCAAAGCGTATTTTTCGTGGCGTACACACACGTGATACGTTAATGTTGTATTCTAAGCTTCCTGGGTTTGCTGATGCTTTCTGGTTGCAGATATAATCGTTTTTGTGTTTGTTTGTTTTTGTTTTTTGTTTTTTGAGACGGAGTCTCGCTCTGTCTCCAGGCTGGAGTGCAGTGGCATCATCTCGGCTCGCTGTAACCTCCGCCTCCCGGGTTCAAGCGATTCTCCTGCCTCGGCCTCCCGAGTAGCTATAGGCGCCCGCCATCACCTCCAGCTAATTTTTGTAATTTTGGTAGAGATGGGGTTTCACCATGTGGGCCAGGATGGTCTCAGTCTCTTGACCTTATGATCTGCCCGCCTCGGCCTTCCAAAGTACTAGAATTACAGGCGTGAGCCACCATGCCCAGCCTAATTCTTTCTTTAGGAAAAACTATTCAGTGAGGAAAGCGTGGCTCTCATGTGCACGGAGCCCAGGCTTCCTTGGTGCTACCCCCTGTCGGGGTGGAGGGCAGGGACCCTGGCCTTAGGGTTGCTCGGCCACACACCAGCTGCAGTGGGACAGGGTCCCGCAGAGCGCAGGGAGGCCCTGGAGGGTGCCGGTGTGGGAGGGTGGCGGCGTCCAGCAGGCATGAGGGTCTTTGAGAGAGACTGCAGGGCCGGTGCGGGTCACGGGAGGGGAGAGTGGAGAAGCGCCAGCCAGGGAGCCACTGGCAGTGTGGGGGGAGGATGTCCAGGGAGCTGACGACAAGGGTTGGTGAGAAATCTGAGGTGCTGTCTAGGGTGGCTGGGAGGTAGATGGCAGGCTGAGAGGCAGCATCAGAGTCTGGAGTTTCAAGTCTAGGGAGCAGTTGTGTGGAATCAGGGTGGGGCTGGGGTTCCTCCTGCCTCGGGCCAGTCAAGTGCTGCTGAGGGCTGGAGTCAGCTTCGGCTGCTGGTGCCCTCGTGAGTTGACAGGACCACAGGAGTCCCACGCTGCCGCTCTCCTGCTCCGCCAGGTTACAAGGGGCCACCTTCCTGGAGTGAAGTGAGCCACTCTGAGAGAATGAATGATTCTGGTTACGGCAGTTCTGGATGTCTGAGCTTGACAGCTTCAGGAAAAACTGTGGGAGGTGGGGCCATGGCACAAACGTGGTGGGTGGGTGGAAGGGTTCTGAGCACTCACTCAGCATCCTGGCCGCCTCCAGGCTTTTTCGGTTTTGTTCTTTTAACTTTTTCAACCAGCAGATACTGAGTTCTCTTTTTATTATTATTCAGTTATTCTTTAAAATAGAGATGGGTTCTTGCTGTGTTGCCCGGTCTCGTCTTGAACTCCTGGGCTCAGGTGATCCTCCCATCTCGGCTTCCCAAAGTGCTGGGATTACAGGCGTGAGACATGGCGGCCGGCCGGATACTGAGTTCTTAGCATGGCCAGAGAGTGCTTTAGGTCAGAGCTTCCCAACTGGACTGATTCTGCTCCCCTGGGAACACTTGGCCCTGTCTGGACAGTTTTAGTTGTCACAGCTGGGGCAGGGGTAGGGCTGGCACCCAGCGGGGGAGGGGAGGATGAGCTGCTCAGCATCCTGCGATGCAGTCCCTCCCACAGGTGGGGGCGCGACGTACCCGTGTGGTCACCACTTAAGAGCTAGCGTTTCTTTGTTTGTAGATTTTACATGAGGACCCATGGCATGGCCCAGCAGGAGCTGCTCAAGCCCCATCCTAACAGGCTTCCTGAGGACACATCAGCCCAGCTGGGCACCTGGAATTACGGGCAGAGGGGCCCTGTCGAGGGGGCTGATGTGTGGACTAAACACCTGCACACGTCACCCCAGGCACCCTCGAGTGACTTCCAGTGACTCGCCAGGTACGGAGTGCTGGTTACATACAGCTCAGTGCACGTCTGTGCCGAGGCTCTGGCATGTTAGGGTTTGGAGCTGGTATTTTCCCTCCAAGCCTGGAGGCAAACTATTCCTGCTGGGAACCTGCTCACGGCCACGCCACTGGGTGGGGTGCTGTGTGGGGCTCAGGCCTGCAGCCTTGTGCATATGTCTCAGTCACCTGGCACCTCAGTTTACCCCATTCAAAGGGAAGACTGTGGCTGGCTGAGAGGGTTACTTCCAGCTCTTCCTAAAGACTGCCATCCGTAATGTGCCGCATTTAGGGACTGCACACCTCCCTTAAGAGACTTAAGAGCAGATTCCACAGGTCCAGCCTCAGGGCTTCCTCATGGGTGGTCTCCAGAGGAACCCACACATGGGACATGGCAGCTCAGGACAACATCCCGCCACCTACATAGCACAGGGCCACGCAGGATAGAGACGAGAGCCTCAGAGTCACAGGCTTCCCAGCCCTGCACGGGTCCCGCACAGCCCCCTTGTCCAGCACCGAGGGCGAGTGGCCGCGTCGGAGGCGGGTTAGAGGCGGGCCAGCGAGCCCAGGCGGTTTGTGTCTAGCGCCTGTTTCTGAGCCAATCCCACTAGGGGTAGACTGAGATAAAGTGAAGCCTGGACTCAAACGGCTCCATGGCAGAACACAAGGGGCTGCCCAGGCGACCAGAGAGAGCGCATATGAAAGATATTGCCTGCCAAAGAGACAGGAGTGGGCAGCGTGGGTCACAGTCTCAGAGCGGGAGCAGGGCTGGGCCACAGCTCCCGTCACACAGTCTCAGAGCGGGGGCAGGGCTGGGCCACAGCTCCCGTCACCCTGCGCCCCGCCTGAACTCGGAGGAGGCAGGCAGATGCCGAGGCCCAGAGACCCAGAGCAAAAACGGAGTGAGACGCTGCCCAGTACAGACCGATGCACAGACACGGACGCCGGGGAGCAGGGCCACGCCTGCACGCAGGTGCCCAGAAACCCTCAGTCTTCATGGCAAGGCCTCGGGCTGTTCTGAGCCAAGCCAGCACTACAGCACACAGGCAGGCCAGCCTGGGCCCACGCGTGTGGGTGCCGTCCCTGCACCACCACCACTCAGAATGGAACACGGCAGCTGGCAGCAGCAGGCACGGTCCAGGTGATGGCACAGATACCACCCTTGGGCTGTCCCTGAGGGAGAGCAGGCCAGGGAACCAGGGCCCTGAGCCACACCGTGGGCATCACCAGGCATGTGCCTCACACACCTGCTCAGACCACCTCAGTCACAGCAGGGAGGAGCCCCTCGCCCCCTTGTGTCGCCAGCTGGAGCCTGCACAGAGGGAGCCCTCCAAGGAGCTGCAGCCGGGGAGGACCCCACAGCCACAGGGTCCCCAGACCTCCCTGTCCGGCAGCTGCGCTGCTGCCCGTGGCCTCAGCACCAGAACGTAGGCCCCAGCTTCAGAGTACAGGGCCTGCTCCTCCCTGGGGGCCCAGGCTGCAGGCATCTGCGTCTTTTTTTTTTTTTTTTTGAGATGGAGTCTTGCTCTGTAGCCCGGGCTGGAGTGCAGTGGCCGGATCTCAGCTCACTGCAAGCTCCGCCTCCCGGGTTCACGCCATTCTCCGGCCTCAGCCTCCCGAGTAGCTGGGACTACAGGCGCCCGCCACCTCGCCCAGCTAGTTTTTTGTATTTCTTAGTAGAGACGGGGTTTCACCGTGTTATCCAGGATGGTCTCGATCTCCTGACATCGAGATCCACCCGTCTCGGCCTCCCAAAGTGCTGGGATTACAGGCTTGAGCCACCACGCCCGGCCGCATCTGCGTCTTAAGTGGAGCCCGTGGCACCTTTGTCAGGCCCTTGCCCCCAAAGCTAAGGCACCTATGCTCAAAAGTCGGCTTACCTTCCTCCGCGAGGTCTTTGTTAATCACCAGTTTGCCATGTCTCAGGTAGTTCAGCACGGGCCCAAAATAGGTGGGGTCTCTGTCGATTAAATAGGCACCTGTTTCGTCCTAAAGAGAGCAGAGCACGGTGAGTCCTCTGTGAGAAGCCGACAGTTCCTGCAGGTCCACCAAGGCCCGGTCACATCAGGAGGCTTCAGAGGCACCAGGTGACCCAGGCCTCTCCCCAACAGACCTGAGCCTGTAGCATCTCGGGAAACCCCTGACGGTGTGGCCACGTCTTGCCGCCTACAGCCTAACCCTGACCAGCCACCATCCCAGGTCTAGGTGAGTTTTAAGTCTCTCCGTATGGAGACAGCCTGGCTCTGTGTACTCCAAGGTGAGGCCACTGTGCCCTGGACCTCTGTCCTCACAACTGCAAGACCTCTAGGAAAACACACATGAAAACCTCACCCAGATCCTCTCCCTGGGATGCCCTCGTGGGCAGGGCAGGGGCCTAGGGCTCAGCCTCTGAAGGACACCCCTGATGGCTACCAGCCTGGGCCTGCCCTCCTTGTGCCCAAGTCCTCCCTGGCCGACATCCAGGACTGGGGGTCAGGGGCTCTCTGCCAGGGGTGGAGAGGGCACCTTGCAGCAGGGGCAGCTGCCAACAGGTGCCGAGCCAGCAGCGAGGGAAGCTCATAGTGATCTGCACTCAACAGCATCCGGGGCTTTCTCTGAGATCCTCACTCACCACACAGAGCCCTCGCCCCGGCTCAGTGCTCACGGAGGCCGAGATGTTTACAAACAGACCCCTCGGAAGGTGTCCTCACGCACCTGGGTGGGGGGCCCCTGAAAGGCACTGCCCCTGCTGCTATCACGGTCACCTCAATGTGGGCAGACGCCCTCTGAGGCCCGGGGTGCCCCACACATCACACCTGGCAGCCCCTTCCACCAAGCACAAGAGGCCCAGTGGCCCAGCTGTGTGAGTACAAGATGGGCGCCCAAGCGCCCCAGGCAGCCCCTGTGGGGGAGACAGAAGAGGCAGTTTCTGTCACCTTATCCAGACCCAGGCCTGCTTGTCGGCCATACATCTGACGGGGGGACTGCGAAGCCAGCATGGCCCATCTTCCACACGGACTCAGACCTTCGGTGTGGCTCTGCTGGGGCAGCTCCCGCCTCCCCCAGTCCTGCTCCCACCTGCGAGTCACTCCCACAGGGGCTGGTGCCTGCGGGCGCCCTGGAGAGCGGGGAGCTGAGACCTCCATTCAGAAACACCGGGCAGCCTCCCGGGCAAGGCCCAGGGCCAAGCACCGGCGAGAAGCAACCCCACACCCCAGTCAGGGCAGGAGCAGCCCCCTCCCCCAGAGGGGCTCCTGTGGGGCCTTGGGCAGGTGCTGGCCACGGGAACGCCAAGTTCGGCGATACGGGGAGGCCGGAGGTGTCTCCACCACAAAGCACAGGGCCGCGCTAGGACCCTGTTTTCATCCATGGACAAATTCTGCCATTTGGGTGCTAGGACCTAGTGGTTTCAAGAGATTTTCCCCAAAGTCCACTACTGCAAACCTGTAAAAACCTGCTCTTAGATCAGAGGAACAAAACTGAGTTTCGCGGCTGAGATAAAATCAACTAGGGCTCCGGGCATGGGGGTGCTGGACCCGGAGCCTCAGTGGGCCCCTACTCCTCAAGTTGACCTCAACTCCACACAGACCTGACCCCATCCTCCTCCTCCACCCTCCCCAAGAACACTCCAGCCACAGCTGCCCACCCCACAGGCCCTGCCTCCTGGGCTTGCCCCTGACTTTCCCCAACCCTCCAGACTCCACAGCTCTTAAGCAAGGGCCAGATCCCAGGAAGAGGACGCTGGGTGGTCCTGCCCAACTGGTAAAAAATGGCCCCCATTTCCCACAGAGGGGTCCAAGTCTGGCAAGGTGGCCAGTGCTGCCACCCGAGTCTAGGGTTCCTCCCCGCCCCACCCCCATACAGAGAGAATGGTGGCCGCATGACATCCGCACACCACTCAGCTCAGGAATCATTCATGGCTCAGTGCTCCCTCGACAGACCACTGGTGGGAGGTCAGGAAAGATCAGATAGTGTGCCGAGGCTCGCCTCTGCCCAGGACAACCCCAGAAAGCCCCCCTCTCAGCCATGGAGGCCTCCAGGCCTGGCCTCAGTGCAGGCTTAAGGCCCGGCCACCCCAGGCCTAAGTTTATGAGCAAAATGTGGAGGAGACCAGCTCATGTAGCTCAGGGCCGCCATGAGCGCCAGGGCACCCAGCCTGTGGCAGGACCTGGGCACTGAGCCGTGACCTCTAGGCCAGGACAACCCACCATGCACTTCTCGGCCCCTGGGCCAGTGCAAGAGGAGAAGGAAGCCTGCTGGGCACCCCCAGACACAGAAGGCCGCCCCAGCCCTGCAACTGGAAGGACGAAGGCTGGAAGGAGGGTGGGGCGGGGACGGCCATCAGTTAAAACTGCACAGCAGGACAGAGGAACAGGCCTGACGACTCAGCAGGGCACTCTGGGCAAACTGGCAATGGCCTTGGTGCACTCTTTTGAGGCTTTCAGGGGGAGATTTCCACATCTATAGGAAGTGCTGGGGTCTTAAACCAAGACTCCCAAATCCCACCAGGGTTCAGGTCTCCCTGAGGCCTGACTCGCATCCATGCACATGCAGGGTCTTGGTGCTCTGAGCTCGGGTGAGCCATGTGCTCCAGATGGGCCTAGTGCATGCGGAGTCTACTCATGGCACCAGCCCAGGCCCAGACAGTGCCCAGCTCAGGCACAAGGACCTGGGCAGCTCACTGCCGGTGTCGGGGATGCGGCTCAGTAGCTTCCACCCTGATGCAGAAACAAAAATACGGAACATGGGAAATACAAAAACAAAATATTCAGGATATACTCCTAGGCTCACAGAGACAAAGGCAGCAAGGTCACCTCAAGGATATTTAGAACAGCACCTGGGCCATCAGCGGCACCTGCCCAAAGAAGGAACGATGCCCTGGCTTCTAAGATGGGTGAGGAGAGGCAGCCAGGAAGCCAGGGAGATGCTGCAGGCTGGGCGTGGGGGTGCTCTTCTTCCTGGCTTTCCCGTGCGTCCCATGGCTTACGCAACCCGTGGTTGCGCGCGATTCTCAGGAAGATTCGTGGTGGGTTTTTTTTGGTAAAAGCCCTAATTGGCTGGGCTTGGTGGCTCACATCTGTAATCCCAGTACTTTGGGCGGCCAAGGTGGGTGGATCATGAGGTCAGAAGTTTGAGACGAGCCTGGCCCACATGGTGAAACCGTCTCTACTAAAAACACAAAAATGAGCTGTGTGTGGTGGCTCGTTCCTATAATCCCAGCTACTCAGGAGGCTGAGGGAGGAGACTCGCTTCAACCTGGGTAGCAGAGGTTGCTGTGAGCCAAGATTGTGCCATTGTACTCCAGCTTGGGCAACAAGAACAAAACTCTATCTCAAAACAAAAACCATAATTAAGACTGTTTTCTTAGCAAGTCATCTTCCCCGCCCCTCGCTGAACTGGCATCTGACCCACTTGTGGCTGGGCCCAAGCTGGCTGGGTTGACCCACCCATCTCCAGGGGTCGCAGCCTTCAGCCAGAGCCACGGGCCGTAGGCAGGGCAGGGTGGTTTCCAAACTACAGAGGAGAAGGGGGATCCTGGCCATAGCGAGAGCAGGAGCCAAGGTTGGCTCCTGGAGAGGAGCACACTGGAGGCAGTGCTGAGCCGGGGGCACACAGTCTCAGGAGATGGAGGAAGATCCTGCAGACAAAGCTGAGTGCTTGCCCACTCCCGAAGTCCACAGGACGACCACAGACGGATGTCTGTTCAGCAGAGAAGTGCTCAGAGAAGGCTGGTAACGAGCCTGGCCACTCTGCTCATCTCACCAGACTCTGGCTGCACCTCTCCACCATCCATGCTATCGCCCAGCAAGCAAAGCACCAGGGGCAACATGGGGGTACACCAGCCCCCAAGGGACAGGTCCCTAATACAACCACCAGCCTTGAAAATGGCAGTGAAGGGCTGGGTACAGTGGCTCATGCCTCTAATCTCAGCACTTTAGGAGGCCAAGGAAGGCAGATCATTTAAGGTCAGGAGTTCAAGACCAGCCTGACCAACTACTACAAATACAAAAATTAGCCGGGCATGGTGGAGGGTGCCTGTGTGATCCCAGCTACTAAGGAGGCTGAGGCAGGAGAATCGCTTGAACCCGAGAGCCCCCCTGCAGTGAGCTGAGATTGTGCATTGTACTCCAGCCTGGGCGATACAGCGAGGCTCCGTCTCAAAAAAACCCAAAAAAACCGCAGTGAGGAATGAGGGTGGAGACTGGCAAACTCTCACGCCAGATGCTGAACGGAACATAATCCTGCTGCTGCCCACTGCTCCCGCAGCTCCCGGAGCTCCGCACAGAGGCTCGGTCAGCCCTGCGGCTCTCAGTCACTCCCAGTGCTCGGAGACACGTGCCACCAGAGGGGACGAAATCAAGAGGGGGAGGTGCCCTGAGCCAACTCTGCCAAATTGCCCCACAGAAATCTAGACGCGAAGGCATAGAATTTTCTGTGCACCACCATCTGCAATCAACCTAATTAGAAATACTGAGTTTTTACTCTGAAATTATCCAATCTCGCACACAAAAGCTTCACCTCTACTCTCTCTTCTGTTTTGTTTTATGCAGATGTGTGGTGTCTTTGGCCCACGAGAGGCCTTTGATGTCACCAATTACTAATGGGGAAACTGAGGCCAGAGAGCAAGGAGGCTTGTCCAAGGCACCCAGATTCGGAGAGCCGGGGGGGGGGGGGCCCTGCGCCCTGGTCGCCAGGCCTGCTGCCTCGCCACTACCCCTCCCTTCCATTGCTTCTGGGCCTCACCCAGCACAGAAACTGGAATTTGGGAGGTCCGTGCCCCACGCATGACTCAAAGCTTAGTGAGAAGCAGACGTGTGTGGTCTCATGACCTGGCCCTTCACACGAGGTCCAGCGGCTTCTCTGGGAAGAAACATGCTTCAGGTGCACCACGGGGGGTCTTGCCAAGCTGAGGTCGCTGCAGGGTCCTGCTCTGCTCGGCAGGAACTGGAGCCCTCTTAGGAGCAGGGGTCTCAGGTAATTTTTTTGTATTTTTAGTAGAGGCAGGGTTTCGCCACGTTGGCCAGGCTGGTCTGAAACTCCTGACTTCTGCTGATCCACCCGCCTCGGCCTCTCAAAGCGCTGGGATTACAGGTGTGAGCCACCAGGCCCGGCCCCTACTCCAACTATTTTATGAGACAGACTGTACTGCTACTTTACCTTCATGTTCTGAGTTTCAGTTTTGCCATTTGGAAATCAAACCTGGTTAAATGGAGGATGATGAAAAGAGCAAGCATAACATAGATACATTATGCCTCCCCCAAAGAACTGATTCCTACAGTAAAGCTTTTTTTTTTTTGAGACAGAGTCTTGCTCTATCGTCCAAGCTGGAGTGCAGTGGTGTGATCTTGACTCACTGCAACCTCTGCCTCCCGGATTCAAGCGATTCTTCTGCCTCAGCCTCCGGAGTAGCTGGGACTACAGGCACCTGCCACCACGCCCAACTGATTTTTTGTATTTTGACTAGAGACCGGGCGTCACCATATTGGCCCGGCTGGTTTCCAAAGAGATCCACCTGCCTCGGCCTCCCAAACTGTTGAGATTACAGGTGTGAGCCACCGAGCCCAGCCCATAATTTTTAACAAAGTCTTAAGGAACTGTAAAATAAAGGGATGAACCACCTTAACTGTGCTAAAGTTAATCAGCTCTGAATCAAGTGCTCCAGTGCTGAATAGACAGACATTGCCTCAAAGAACCCAATTGACAAGAGCAATTTAAAATCTAATTTCACATACAAAACAAGAATGCTTGAGTAGAAAGGCAAGGGAGTGACCACTAAGCCCTGCTATTTAAAAAGAAAAACCAAACAGTAAAACATACACCCACCCTTATGAAAGGAAAATCACAGCTAACAAAAGCCTATATTGTCATTTCCTGGGAGTCAATTCTCTGAGGAGACGGCTTGGTCAAATGAGCAATGGAAACAGTTGGAAGTTGTGGGGAGAGTCAGGAGTGTTGGCATCTCAAACCCTCATTTCTACCCACAAGGCGGCCTTAGCAGTAACTCCAGATTCTCTTTTCCTGATCATGGTCATGCCATGCTGAGAATGGTCTCAGTCAGGCTTCTCAAACTTGAAGAGGGATCCCAGCCTTTCTGGGAAGGCTCATGCATGGCAAATGTTGGCTGCCATGGCACAAAGTCAAGTGCAATCATGTAAACTCAACTGACAGACCCAGCAAAGTTAGTGTAAGGCTTGTGAACTGCCTTGAAGAAACAGGTAACAACTTCTTCAGGCTTTTTTTTTCTAAGTTTCCATCCTGCACAACTCCCAAGACACTCTTCCTCGGCTCTACAACTCTTTTTTTTTTTTTTTTTTTTTTTTTTTTTTTTTTTTTTTTTGACGGAGTCTCGTCTGTCGCCAGTGGAGTGCATGGCGGATTCGCTCACTGCAATCCGCCTCCCGGTTCAGCCATTCTTCTCTCATCCGGTGCTGGACTACAGCGCCCAACGCGCCCGGCTAATTTTTTGTATTTTTTAGAACGGGGTTTCACCGTGTCTCGATTCTGACTTGGATCCGCCCCCTCGGCCCCCAAAGTGCTGGGATTACAGGCGTGAGCCACCGCGCCCGGCCTACAACTCTTAAAAAAGGTAATAAAAGGTTTCTATTGCCATCTGCCCAACAGCATGAGCATTTCGCTTGATGAAAGACAAGCGGCAAACTAACCTGGAAATTCCTGTCTTTTTGCGAAGACAGTGAGAAAACTAAGCTAATTAGAAAGCAGACTGAGGCCGGGCGCGGTGGCTCAAGCCTGTAATCCCAGCACTTTGGGAGGCCGAGGCGGGCGGATCACGAGCTCAGAAGATCGAGACCATCCTGGCTAACATGGTGAAACCCCGTCTCTACTAAAAAATACAAAAAACTAGCCGGGCGAGGTGGCGGGCGCCTGTAGTCCCAGCTACTCAGAGGCTGAGGCGGGAGAATGGCATGAACCCGGGAGGCGGAGCTTGCAGTGAGCCGAGATCGCGCCACCGCACTCCAGCCTGGGCGACACAGCGAGACTCCGTCTCAAAAAAAAAAAGACTGAAAGATCCCCTACCTGGCTCTTCCTGGACAACCCTAAAGCAACCCTTAACATGAGCAAAATTCCCTTCAAATAATCATACTATACACTACGGATGCATCTTCTAAGAGGTGCTGAGTGGGTGATGCGTGCTGTGGATGGAGAGGATGGAGCGCCAACTCTCTAAATGCAAGTCACCGGGAAAAAGAGGCCGCCCATGTCAACCCACGCCAGCGTTAATTCAAACGTCCAGAATGTGAAAGGACAGACCAACAAGGGTTTCTTCTAGAGCCAGCAAGTACCCTAGGACAGAGAAGAGAAGGCGTTCACACACCCTGGGCAAAAGAACCTACTGAGAAAAAGAAGAATCACAGCAAAGGGACGCCGAGCCGCCTCCACCGAAAAGCAAAGACCGCGAGGTAGAGACACCCCAAGGTGAAGTGACTCAGTATCCTCGAAACAGTGGACGCCAGCGCGCGATCCTCGCCCTCCCCTCCCAGGGTAGGGGGTCAGGGGAAGCTGGGGACGAGATGGCGACAAGGGAGCGTGGGCTCGAAGCCGGAGGAGAGTCGCCCGCTCCCGCTGAGGTCTCCTCCGCGCAGAGCAGGGCGTGTGCGGCGGCCACAGGCCCGGACGGCCCAGACCCTTTCGGCTGCCCCGCGCGGCTCTCACCTTGTCGGAGTCCGGGTCGGGTTGGCCTGGCACAAGCGGTACAGGAAGGATTTCGGGTCCCAGCACAGCGTCTGCCGAGTAGTGAGGAAGTAGGGGCCGCTGACGTTGAGTCGGACCCTGTTGGACACGCTCAGGGTCGCTGTGCCAGGGCGTGAGCCCCGCCTTTAAGGGCGGCACAGGCAGCCACCTCAGCCCCGCCCCGAGGTCGTCCCGGCCGGTGGGAGGAACTCCGCAGGAGCTAGCAGTGATTCTCCGCCACGATTCCAGTAAGCCCCGCCACAGGTCCGCTACACCGGAAGGTCCGGCTTTCAACAGCGTCCTCTGCGTTCTCTCCCGCCCACAGGTCCGCCCTTATAGAACGCCCGCGGCAGCGTCACGTGGCAGGCAGAAGTTCCCACCCGGAAAAGCAGCAGGCTGGGCCCGCTTCCGGCGGGAGTGGAACCGGGTTTGGGGCGCCAACGCTAGAGGGCACTGGCAGCGAACCACCCCCAACCGCGCCCCCACTCCGTGAGGGGGTCAAAGGAAGAGCCACGCCAGCAAACCTCTACACTCTACATGCTTTTTATTACAAGACTACTGAGCATACGAGGAAAATTCATCATCTGGTAACTACACCTAAAGCACATATATTTGGGAAAAAAAAAAGAGATTCATTAAATTATATGATTAAATCACTGACCCAATAGAAAATTTATATAATAAAGCCAGAAAAAAAGTTGTAAAATATAGTTTACAATAATTATTCACATTCAAGGCTGTACATCAATACATACAACAACGTGGCCCCGAACATGAATTCAATCCAAATAATTCATATATTAGAATTTAAATAACACAGACTGAACTAGAGGCCAACAATAGCCAGCAAATAACCTTATATAAGAATAAAAATACAAAAGTGTATATCCTAATATCATTGCATTGTTTTCATAAGTCTCTTAATTTTTGCTTTGCCTGTACATCACAGTTACAGCTACAGACCAGGTAGAGATTACGCATGTTCTGACTGCCACCCGCCTGAAAGACGTACTCGTCATTTCTCCTATTTTATGTTGTGAAGGAACAGCTACAGCAGCTCTAAATACTGTAACAATTAAATTTTGCCAACGTCCAACTTACAGTCATAATAGAGGCTTTTACCAGCACAATGACCCCTATTTGTAGTCATTCTGCCAGATGGTTAGGCTACGTGGGTTACACGGCTAAAAAAAGGTCTGCCTTTTGTAAAAAGTTCCCTGTACGTAGTTTGGTGTTTCTTCATATTGAAGAAATGAGTTATGGGGAAAATTCAGGTACACACATAGGCTCGTTCAGTTGTGCTCACCACAGCCATAGCAACAGATCAAAGTGCTCTTTGTTGGAAACAGCTTCCTCCTCACATCAGTTCTCCACAGGCAGCCTCATTTACAACCCTGCAATTTTGGGCCAGAAGTGGTGGCCCCTCAGAGGCTCTGAAGTGCCTCCAGCCCCAATTCAGGCACTTGCCACGTGTGCTGCGTAAGAAGGGACCCCACCCAGTGAGTCAACATAGGTTCATGTCAGGTTTGAGTTTGAAAATAACTGGGGAAAAGTGTATGACAGCATCTTCCACAACATAGTACCTTCACCATATTCTCACAGCAGCTGCGCTCTGAAGTCCCAGCAGTGAGCACCCCGGCTTTGTGGACCAGCCAGGCAAGGGGGCTTCAGGCTTCAGAGGAGGGCAAGAAACCAAATTCTGTGCTATTTGGCCATACTCTCTGGTAGAGTGAAGCAGCACTGAACGCGGTGCCTAGAAAAACCTCCTGCATGTTCCCCCGTACAAGCAATGGACCCCAACTAAAGTGGAGAAATAAAAATCCAACCAAATTTAGGTGGTCTGGACTTGCCGCCAGCCAGGCAATCTGCAATACTGTGGGCAGGGAGTGGGGAAGAGACGGCCTGAAATCTACACCAGCTGGGACAACCACGCCCTACAATGAAAAAGCCAGCCTCGCTGCCGGGCTCTTCTGAACCACTAAGGCCTGAAGCAGGGGCGGAAGCGGGGAGACAAATGCACTCAGAAAACCCAATCAGCGACATGGTTTTTTTCAAGTAGAGGCTTTGCTCTGCTACTGATTCCAAATGGCCTAATGTACTTTCTGAGTCTATAAACTTAATTACAAATCACTCACTAAGCATGTGGCAAGGTCAGTTCAACACTTGTTATCTCTGCTGACTGTGCAGATGCAAATTCAGTACCATTGTGGACACAAAGTACAAGATTCTGAAAATACTGCCAAGCCCATGAAAGCCACAGCAGCAGGGATGGCAGAGAGCTGACATGCAGGCGGAGCCAGGTTCTTGCAACCAAAACAAGGAAACTGGCTCTTGGAAAAAATCGGCCACAAATGGATTGCAGCAATGACATCCTCTTAGCATTTAAATAAAGAGCGGTCTTATTCAGACATTCTTTGGAACACACACAGTTTATCAGAAACTGATTTGTTCAGAATCTGCAGGACACAACTAAGGTGGTTCTGCTACTGGAACTCTGAGCATCTAAACATAAGGTTGAGAGAGAGACAGAAAAATATATTTAAAATGAACAAACTCTTTGACCTCAAAATACCACTTTTAGGCATCTAAGGGGGGAAAAAAGTAAGTAATCAGAAGATTTTAAGGATATTCATCACAGCATTATTTAAATAGTGGAAAAATCAGAAACCGTCTAAATATTTTACAGTAGGGAAATGGTCAGATAAATTATAGTAAATGGACAACTAAACACTACAATTGTTAAAAACGTGTTTCTGAGAAACTCATGACATGGGAAAATGCTTAGAATATCAAGTGAGAAGACGATGCAAACAGCGTGTGTCGGATGTTCCCAATTTAGTTGAAAAAGTGAACAAATGGCGGGGCAGGATATAGGCCAAAATGCTCACAGTGGTCTTCTCTGGGCGGCGAGCCTACAGCTGATCTTGTCAGAGACAAATGTCAGTTCTGAGTCACCCAGAGCCCTGTGCTGGTGCCTGGGGGTCTGTGCCATGGGAGTCTCCACAATTCCTCTGGGGAAGGGCTGCAAATCCCACAATGTGTCCCAAGAGGGCTGGAGTAGGCGGAGTCCCCAGCGGCTGTGGCATGACCAGCCACCTCTCTCAAAAAGAATTGTTAACAAGCCTTCCGCAAGTTAAGGTTCCACGTGGTAGCCGTGGTGCAGAGCCATTTCACTACGGTGGAGAGACTTGTGCTCCACACCAGGACTGCCCACCGCCCTGGCTGCGGCCAAAGAGGGGAGAAAAGAATCCCTCAGAAGCCAGCCCCCAGCTGCGTCCCAGAGAAAGGCAAGGCACCTGCGGCACCTAGGCCGGCAGCGACCACAGCCTCCCTCCCCTCCCCTTTGTGCCGAGAAGCCACAGAGTGTGGTCCTGACATTCCACCTGTCCTTGCCCACGTGTGGGGAGGCACATGGCCCCAGGTCTATTAAACAGCAGGTGAAATCTTCCTCACCTTGGATAAACCCACAACTGTAATTCCATGTAAGCACGTCTGTGTGGACACACGGTACCCCACGTTCCACCGTAGAGTGTAAGGCACCTGCATGCCAGGTGATGGCTCTAAGGATGTGCTGGATAAAACTGGAGTTGACATGAGCAAGCGCAGGGTAAAGAGAGAAAACACACGAGCCTTTAAAAAGGTAAGAGAAAGGGGCTGGGTGAGGAGAAAGGTGACCCACAGAAGGACTTGGCTGTCATGAGCTCAGGCAATGGCATCATCAGCTGTCAGCTGCCAGCTCTGGCTCTGAGCCCCTAGTTCTGTGGCTTTGGAGGTTAAGATGGAGCTTGTCAGTGACGCCCAGGAGGTGGTGGTTCTATCCAGAGGAAGAACACACGGGAGTCTCCCCAAGCAGCCCAGCCGAGTGCTCCAATTAAAGCCACGTCCCTGCTCCCCTTGTTTCCCTATAACCAGACGCCCTGAGACGTCTTTCCTGTGCCTGTACGTGCAGTTAGGAGGGTTAGGAAGCCACTCTCCTACACGGAGACACAGGACGTTCTGAGATGGATAAAAGAGCTGATAAGGAGGAGTAAGCCTGAACAGAAATTCCTGAAAGGACCAAGAGAGACTCCCCAACACAGCCAAGCCTTTCCAAAAGCCAGCAGGAGGAGAGAGGACTTGACTCCGGCCACAGGCCCAGGGCAACGTGCTGGGCCCCGGAGCGTCCTGCTCCCTGGGGCGCCCCAGGGTAGGTGTGGCCCAGCTCGTCCCAGCTCACCGTGACAGGCTCACGTGCAGCTCACACACAGTAGCAGCCAAGGCCCAGGCAGAAACCGCAGGCAGGGCCTGGGGAACATTTCTGCCCCGTCCAGGCTCCCATCTGCACTTGCCTAGCTAAAAAGAGCCACTCTCATCATTAGCAGTGTGAAAAGGACACCTTCCCTCTCAGTTTGGACCTGGCCGGGCACACAGGGTCACTGCTGAGTCATCTGTGATTTTGAGGGTAGGGACCAGGGAGGGTGGACACAGTTGAGTCAGAGGCAGGTCTGTGGGCAGCGATGTCTGCCTCTCCCCCACGGGACTGAGGGCTGCCCTCCAGGGACAACCTGGGCAGGGAGAGGAGGACCCGGACCTGCCAGGCCAGCAGAAGCAGTGTCTGCCTGGGGAGCAGCTAGGCAAAGGACAAATGCATCTGGCCTATCTGTGCTGTACAGCAGGGAAGGCCACCAAAGCATCAAAGGGAAACAGCCCCAAAACCGGCAGAGGAAAGTAGACCAGCAAGCTGGGGTTGAAGTGTCCTGTTCTCGCCTCCTGTGCAACAGCAACTGGCAAAGTCCACTCTTTATGGGGCCAGATGAGCAGGCAGCATGAGAAGGCTGTGAGATTTTTGATGCAGAGATGTAGAAACTGAGTGGGCTCTGAGAAGTTTTAGCCACAGCACAAAAGGGGTGTGTGTGATGGTGGTGCCTGCACTCCCTGGTGTGCTCTGCAGGAGAATCACCCCGGGTCTGCTGAGGCCAGGGTTCTCTCAGACCCTACTTCACTGACTGGGGAGGCCTGGACATTTAAACCGTTTAGTAGGTCCTCAGGCCTCGCTCCTCCAGACACAGGTCAGCAGGCCCTCTCTGCTCTGGCTGGATTCTCCAAGGCACCTCCTGGCCCCACCCAGGGCTTGGGGCAGGCCTATCTCATGCAGTGAGCTGGCTGGGTACTCGTTGGGCTCACCTCTGACAGTACCGCTCCCAGCATGCGCTCGGCTTCCAGCCCCAGAGACCAACACTGCTAAGTAGGACAAGGGATCCGGAGCCCTCGACGGCACCCTCCACTCGGCAGCCTGCTCCCACACCACTCCAACCCTCCCGCTCCTCACCACGCGAGTCTGCCTGCCGACGCAGCAGGCCCACAGAAAGCCGCCAGAGCCACCACAGGGACGTGCGATGGGCCCGGCCAGGCCTAAGGGCCATACACAGGGAGACGCAAGAAAGGGAGCACATGACAGAAGCACAGAGGCTCCCTCCACAGAGAGGCGCGGCCCCCTGGCAGGGCCGCAGAGGCTCCCTCCCTGGTGAAGAGTTCCAGGACCACAGTGGGAGGGGCAGAAACAGCCAAACACACCCGGTCCCCTTGGCCACAGCAGGACCAGCACACAGTAGGGGCAGGGTGAGCGCATGGCTCGGACTGATGCTAGGAGAAGCTGCTGACACCAGGTCTGTCCACTAGTCTGGGTGGGACTGGGCTGACGTGCACGGAGCTGGGTCCCCATGGCAACGAGGGCACATGGAGGCCTCCACAGAGCACAGAGAGCAAGCAAAGCGACCCTGAATTCCTTTGTGTTTGTTACTGGTTTTGTTCTTTGTGTGGTTGGGTGTGTTTTTTCTTCTTTTCTTTTAAATAAAAATGCTACAAGGTTTCCGCCTCTGCGTTCCCCTTGTGATGGCTGGCAGGTGGTCTGGAAGCGTCCCGGATGGCGGCCAAGCCGCGCTGGGGCAGGTGTCCTGGCAGCGAAGGCAGCCCGGCCACAGGCCACGTCACTGCACAGCGGCATCTGGGTGGCTCTGGTATCGCTGCCTCCAAACTTCCTGGATCTTCCTGCACCACTTGTGTGCGTTCCCGCTGGGGTCCATCAGATAATACGTCCTGTTAGGCTGCAAAGACAGAAGCCATTTAGCGTTCCCGAAGGAGTCCCACCAAAACCCCCACCCCAACCTGGTGCGTTGCCTGCTACCAGCCATTCCGAGTCCTGGAAGCACGTGGGTGTGGTGGTTCTTCACACAAGCAGAAAGCAAACATGCAGGCTGATGACCACACCCCAGTCACCACCACACTGAAACCAAGCACGGGCGTCCCCTGCCCCTCAGGACTGAGCGCTAGTGTGGGCATCTGGGATGTCGGAAAGGGCAAGGCAGCTGCCCCATCCCCGCTGCTCCCTCTGGCCAAGGCCTGTGGCTGCTTCCCACGTGCTACAAAGCCCTCCCATCACCCTGCACACAAGAATCCCTGGGAACAGACTCACCGTGTGGACAAAGAACGTTTTAAAATTCTTGGCCTCTGGTCGGAGTTCTTGTGACCAAGGAATTTCACCTTTCAGGACTTTGTTGACAGGATCCACGTAATATAAATGTGGTCCTTCTGTGAGCAACAACTGTCGTCGTCGTGCGAATAAACCCTGACACCAAAACACACAAAACAGGCCTCAGAGGCCAGTGCTGGCAGCATCTCCTGGAGCCTAGAGGGCTGGGCAGCCCCTCGGAGCTGCTCGGAGCACAGGGCCACCGCCACCACCTGTGCACTCACCGAGGGGAAGGGTACTTCCTGCCCCACCAGGCCCAGTTTCTAAGGTCACAGGGGCTGCAGCTCAGGCCCATCCAGGTCAGGCCCATGGCTCCCCTGGCCCCTCTGCTCTGCCTGGGACAGGAGCCTGCTCTCGGGAACTGGCCTCCACACACCCGCACCAAGGTCCTTGCCTGCGGAGGACACACGGCTAGGAACAGAGGCCAGGAGCCTGCGCTTGGAAGTGGCCCCATGTGAGCACCTGGAGTTGAATATTTTCTAACCAAGCGTTAAAGCTAACCGTTACTGGTTTGTGTTCTGTCTGATCATACTGAAATGCCTGATCTGACGTTCTACTATAGAAGTAATATGATTTATATTTGAAGAAGGTACAAGATGACCAAATAAATATCTGAGCACATCCACACTCCTGCCTGGCTCCACGCAGACCATGTGCTAAGTGCTGGATCCCTTCAATCCATAAAATAAAGAATAACCCTTAAATGGTTTTGAAACACTTCTAAAGCAGTGTGAGAACACTGGCTAAGATATCAGACGTGGCCTCTTCAGCTTGATGGAAACCTCACGACGGGCAGCCCCAGGCTCCCAGGAGTGTGCCGAGGATGCTTGTGTTCGGCCCTAACCACCACGTGTGTGGCTCCACACGGCTTCTCGAGGGGCTCACAGCCTTCCCGAGCTATGAAATCCAGAGATGATGTTTGATGCAAATCAAGAGAGGGAAGGATTCCACACCACCAAGCTGCCCTCCCTTGAGCTGGAGTCGGGGAAGATGCAGGCGTGCGTGCAGAGCATCGGGACCACTGACCACTCACCTTCCGCTTATCCACCGGGCCCATCTTTAGTATTAAATTATTTTCTACAAACTGGTGCCTGTGGAAAGAAACAAGAAAGAGATGCTCCCGTGAAAATCACAAACAGAAATTCTCCACGCTCCTCCTGCCACATGAACTCCTCGTGGCCTTGGCCTTCTCCTCACAGAGCCAGCCTCACTTCGGGATGAGCAGAGACCACCACACGTAACCCAGCACACACGCCACTGCCATGCAGAGCCTTAATGTGTATTTGCAACGGAGCCTGCAGATACCAGACACAGTGGCTGTTGTCCCCTCACTGCCAGTGGCATCCACACAGCAGGGAAGAGGTTGGGGAGGACCGTGCCGCAGAAACGGGCAGGTGACACAGTCATTGCTGCCTTAACAAAGCTGTGGTGAGGCGCAGAACTGCCTCCTGAAAGGTGGCTGCCCGTGGAGTCAACAGCTGGATGAGATGATCACCCTCAAGTTACCCCGCAAGCTGGGGCCCTCGATTCAGTGCTCAGGACCCGCAGAGTAGTTTATAATCACAAAGCCCTGAAAGACCCAAGTTGGACTTGCCGTAAGAATATCTCCTCTGGCTTTTCCATCATAGTAAAACACTTTTATTCAGAGATGGCAGAAATTCAAAGAGCAACTTTCAAATACAGGCTTTGATTCGATATACCTTATGAGCAAGCACGCCTCACTTTTGATTCCTGAGACTTCAGAGATTTTTGTTTTTAAAGACAAAGTCTTGCTCGGTCACCCAGGTTGGAAAGCAGTGGTGCCACCACAGCTCACTGTAGCCTCGATCTCCTGCGCCCAAGCCGTTTTCCCACCTCAGCCTCCCAAATAGCTGGGACCACAGGCACACATCACCATGCCCAGCTAATCTTTTTTTCTTTTTTTTATGAGACGGGGTCCTGCTAATGTTGCCCAGGCTGGCCTTGAACTCCTGGGCTCAAGCAATCCTCCTGCCTCAGCCTCCCACAGTGCTGGGATTACAGGTATGAGCCACTACACCTGGCCAATGTATTAATTTATTTATTGATTGATTGCTTGAGATGGGGTCTCACTCTGTCACCCAGGCTGCAGTGCAGTGGTGAGATCTCGGCTCACTGCACCCTCTGCCTCCGGGTTCAAGAGATTCTCCCACCTCAGCCTCCTGAGTAGCTGGAGCTACAGATGCATGCCACCATGCCAAGCTAATTTTTTTTTTTTGAGACACAGTCTTGCTCTGTTGCTCCCAGGCTGGAGCGCAGTGGTGCGATCTTGGCTCACTGCAAGCTCCGCCTCCTGGGTTCACACCATTCTCCTGCCTTAGTCTCCCGAGTAGCGTGGGACTACAGGCACCTGCCACCATGCCCAGCTAATTTTTTTTGTATCTTTAGTAGAGACAGGGTTTCACCGTGTTAGCCAGGATGGTCTCGACCTCCTGACCTCGTGATCCACCTGCCTCGGCCTCCCAAAGTGCTGAGATTAAAAGTGTGAGCCACTGTGCTCGCCAGGCTAACTTTTTTGTATTTTTAGTAGAGACGGGGTTTCACCCTGTTGGCCAGGCTGATCTCGAATTCCTGTCCTCAAGTAATCCGCCTGCCTCAGCCTCCCAAAGGGCTGGGATTACAGGCATCAGACACGGCACCTGGCCCCAAGATACTATTTTAATGTCTGCAGTTTACCTCTTTTGGTTAAAGCTAACAGTTACTGGTTTGTGTTCTGTTTGCTCTTACTGAAATTCCTGATCTGAGGTTCTACTATAGAAATAATGTATGTGTGTGGTTGTTTTTTTTTTTTTTTTTTTTTGAAACAGAGTCTTGCTCTGTCACCCAGGCTGGAGTGCAGTGGCACGCCATCTTGGCTCACTGCAACCTCTGCCTCCCAGGTTCAAGTGATCGATTCTCCTGCCTCAGCCTCCCAAGTAGCTAGGACTACAGGTGTGCACCACCACGCCCAGCTAATTTTTTGTATTTTTAGCAGAGACGGGGTTTCACCATGTTAGCCAGGATGGTCTCAATCTCCTGACCTTATGATCCTCCTGCCTAGGCCTCCCAAAGTGTTGGGATTACAGGCGTGAGCCACCACGCCCGGCTAATAATATGTTTTATATTTGAAGAAGGCATAAGACGATCAAATAAATATCCGAGCACATCCACATGCCTGCCTGGCTGCACACAGGGCCAATAGCACTTGTAAGAAGACCTGACTGGCCAAGCTGGGGGCACAGCATCCTCCCCCAGGGCTTACCCAGCCCTACCTCTGACCCACCTAGACCTGGGCAGAGGTGCCCAGGCCTGCCCCAAGAGGGAGGACCCAGGGCCTGGCCTCACACACACCCCATCCTGTGAGTTTGAAGCAAGAGGAGTGTACGGCATGTGGGCAAGTGCAACCCTCCTCTCACACCAGGGACTTCACCATCAACACACACAACGTGGGGATTAAAACAAAGAGAAACAAATCAAGAAGGGTCCTGAAAAGGACATGTGATGAGGAAGACCCGATCCACCACAGCACAGAAAGCACAGAGCACAGAAATGCCTGGAGGGACCACAGAGCTGGCAGGAAGCCACTCTGACAGGCAGGCCTGTGACCAGGAAACAGCGCAGAGGAATAACAAAGGGAAATTCATAATAAACTACACCGGGGCAGGCAGTGTGGGAGGGACAGGGTCCCTTTGAGTCCAGGCTGGTCAGAGCTCTTGCAGGCGGATGAGGATGGAGAAAGCCCCATGGCCTCTCCCATCCTCAGCTTTCACCACACGCCAGCAAGTGCCAGAACAGGTGATGAGATACATGGTTTAAAGTATCAACTCCAAGGAGAGAAAAACCACAAGAACACAGCAGCCCATCCCTGCAAACTGTGTGGGAGGGGCCGTCTTCCTTGCTGAGAGTGAGAGCAGCCGCCCAGCACTGAGCTGCGGGAGCCACGGAAAGAGGACAAAGCCACCTCCACCTAAAAAACCACCAGGACCACAGTTGGGGTGGGAAAGGATTTCCAGATCCAGCCGCCGTGGGCCTCCACCTGCACCCCACAGCAAATTCACAGTGCCACGAGAGGCTTGGAACTCAACAGAAAACTTAGCAAAATGGCACCAACTAAAAATTCCCAGAAGAGGAATTCAAGTGACACAAGAAACTCTCAATGGCCCTAAACGAAGAAATTGAGCTGGGCTGCTCTGCCCTGATCAGCTGGGCATGCCACAGGCATGGGCGTGCAGGAGTGATGCTCCCGCTCGGCACCTGCAGCCTGGGGAGGACTCACTGAGGAAGTGATTCGGAAATAGGACTGAGAAGTAGCCTTGCTTCCAGAAATCCATCCTGAGAAAAAAAAAGGGCACAGGCAAGGAGCCCAGAGGCACTCCCAGCAGTGTCACCCATGCCAGGGACACTGAAGCTCCAGAGTGGCTCAGCGACAGAACACGCCAGCACCTTGGAGAGGCAGGCAAGGGCCCCACAGACAGGCGCCACCCACCCCTGCGCCACCATCACCTGCGAGAGACAATGAAATGGACAACATCCATTCCCCGGTGGCCCAGGGTGCGTGGACAGAGACTGCGGGCAAAGCTCCACTGGTGACATCGAGAGCAGAGTGTGTGTTCAGCGGATTAACCCCCCAGCTCACAACAGGAAACAGCCCCTTGCTGTCACCTACTTGTAAGTTTCCGTACTTCTAGGAATCACCTTGATTTTTTTTTTTTTTTTTTTTTTTGAGACAGAGTCTCACTCTGTTGCCCAGTCTGGAGTGCAGTGGCACGATCTCGGCCCACTGCAACCTCTGCAGTGACAGGTTCAAGCAATTCTCCTGTCTCAGCCTCCTGAGCAGCTGGGATTACAGGTGCCTACAACTAGGCCCGGCTAATTTTTGGTATTTTTAGTAGAGACAGGGTTTTAGTAGAGACAGGGTTTCGCCATGTTGACCAGGCTGGAATCACCTTTTTAATTCAATTTTTTACTATCTCCTGCAGAAAGTCCCCCGCCCTGAGAGCCCTTTCCTCCCCGGGAGGCTGGGTGAGAGCTGAAGACCTGAAGACATGCCTAACTACTCGCCATGCACACGGCGCTTTCCGAAGGAGCCTCACTCTCATACACCGCATCTTGGCTCCCTCAAAACAGGCAATGCCTCTCCCCACCTCTGCACAGAGGAGGGTGCAGGGCAATCCACAAGGGGTGGCCACAGAAAACCCCCTTTCCTGATGCCAAAGTGCGGGTTCTCACCACCTCCTCCACCCTCCCTCACCCAGACCCCAAAAAGAGCATTGTCAAGGATCCAAGCCCAAGGCCACTAGCAAAGCACCTGCCACGCCCAGGAGAGCCCAGCAAGGAGCCAGAGCTCCGGCGGTGGCTTTCCCGACAGCTTGGAAGGGCTCTCCAGGCTCAGCTTCGCCGCCAGTGAGGGAGGGAACCAGTGGCAAAGGCTGATGGGTCCCAGGTTTCCTCTCCAACCTTCCAGTCCCATGGCCCCTCACACTCTTTTTTTTTTTTTTTTTTGAGAGGGAGTCTCGCTCTGTCGCCCAGGCTGGGATGCAGTGGCCGGATCTCAGCTCACTGCAAGCTCCGCCTCCCGGGTTTACGCCATTCTCCTGCCTCAGCCTCCCGAGTAGCTGGGACTACAGGCGCTGCCACCTCGCCCGGCTAGTTATTTTTTTGTATTTTTTAGTTGAGATGGGGTTTCACCTTGTTAGCCAGGATGGTCTCGATCTCCTGACCTCGTGATCCGCCCGTCTCGGCCTCCCAAAGTGCTGGGATTACAGGCTTGAGCCACCGCGCCCGGCCGGCCCCTCACACTCTTTACCTCTGTGGAAGACCCCAAAGAGCTTTTAGATCAACTGATACGTACTACACAGGAAATGAAAACTAAGACATTTTCAAATATTTAATTCATTAAAAAACAATAAACCAATTACTACTAACATACATTACTTTTATTTTTAAAATAACTACTTTCCAAAACAAAATAATGAATGAGGAGGCCGGGCGCGGTGGCTCAAGCCTGTAATCCCAGCACTTTGGGGGGCCGAGACGGGCGGATCACGAGGTCAGGAGATCGAGACCATCCTGGCTAACACGGTGAAATCCCGTC